GGACAAGCTTGAGCATGTCACCACCTGTCATTTCTCCCGAGGGAGCCCAGTCATCAGCTAAGCTCAAAATGGGAAAGACTCCATCTTCCACAGTAGCAGCTCACAGGGTATCCAACCTTGACCTGGATCTGGGAAGCTTCTTGGACAAGGGCCTTCTGATGTCACTCTTGGGAGAGAAATGAGAGCAGCTGAGAAGTATGCAAATGAGAAGGTGGGAGCTGGGGTCAGAGATGTAGCCTGTCTACAAAGGCCACTGGTCACCCCAGAAGCCAGCCCAGGAGAGGTGTGGGCTGACAGTCAAGAGTCTAACCTCTCCTTTCCCATCTTCATAGAAGCTCCAGATAATGCAAGGGACCATCAACTCCTAGTGTTTCAACTTACTGCCTTCACTGGCCCCTCATGATCATGCCAACATCTCTTTGGGTCCCAGTAGTTATCTGTGAGATGGGACATAGGCTCCTGCCTGGCTCTGGCCTCATGGTCCTGTCTCAGCTGCTCAAGGTGGGTTCCTCCCACCCTCTCCCACCCAGGTGCTCAGATTGAGTCTGGGTGAGTCAGCATGCTGTTCACTTTCCCAGACAGGGATTGCTGGGTGGGGCTCAGGGCCCCCACACTCCTTCCCCCCACACCCCCTCCCATTTCCTTTCCCTCCTCTCAATCCATTAGGATGGAACACGTCCATTCCTGCCCCAGGGCTGTTCCAGGCTACAGAGCCCACGCCCTCCCTCCCTTCAGATCCCCATCTGTGAAAACTTTGCTCATGCTCCCAGCCTGAAGCACTCTCATATCTCCCCTCCAGGAAGACATGGCTGCCGTCATTCTAGCTCCCCAGGGACCCATTACCAAGGGTCTGGGCGTGCTAGCTCAGGCCCAGTCTTGGTGCTAGGGTGCACATGGCCAGCCACGTGGGATTCTCATCACCTCAACTTCTCCTTTAGTCTCCTGCCAGAACTCCTGTGCTGACATGTGAGAAGGGGGCGTGAGTTGGGCATGTCAGGAGGGTGAGCTGGGTGTGCTCTGCCTGCTGAACTCTTGTGTTCCCATGTTGTTCAATGTGAGAAAGGGAAGTACTGGCTAAGCACCTATTAAGCACCCGGTACAGCTCCTCTACACACTTGCTGTTCATCTGTCTACACCTGCTCATCCATCTACACCCGCACCAGCCCGCAGGCCAGGAACACTCAGCTCTAAGAGGTGTGGTATCAGGCCACACGAGAGTGGCAACACAGAGATTGGCCCCCATCTGTCCGTCCTCAAAGTCCAAATCCTGCCTATGCGCATAGGGGTGGCCTTTTAGACACACACACCCCAGGATCGGCTGGAAACCAGCTAAGTGATGCCTCAGAGGGACCACCAGGCAGAGCTGCTGGGGAGAGTGCCAGGGAGGATGCAGTGAGATGTCTTAGTGAACTGGAAATGCCAGCATGTCCAACTGGACTGCCTGAGGGCAGAGACTGGCTTCTATTCTGGCTCTTGGGCGAGACTCATGACTTTCATATGTGTATGTGAGTGAGGATATGCATGTGTATATGTTTGTGTGTGTGCAAGTACCTGTGCACATAAGTACATAGATGTGGAGACCAAGGGGTGGCATCAAGTGTCTTCCTCAACCATTCTGTCTTATTTTTTGAACCTAGCATTTCCCCATTCAACTAGACCAGCTAACCTGCGAGCCCCAGAGACCCACATGTCTCTGCCTCTCCACTGCTAGGATTACAGGTACACACTGCCATACCTAGCTTTCTTCATGGATGCTGGGGATCTGAACACATCATTGTTGCCCTCTCCCCCTGGTCCAACCCAGAGCTCTTTTGAGCTTGACCCACCAAGAGCTCAAAGGTGGATAGTATGTGTCTTGATTTGACTCCCAGGGCTAGATCCCATCTCGTGCCAATATCCTACTATTCTCCCAAATTGAGTCCTAATTTCAGCATGCCCAGAAAGCCTCCGGGGCTGCTCATGCCCCCATAGCTCCAGAGCTTCTCATGCCCCCATGGCATTGTATCCCATTGTATCCCACTGTATCCCACTGTATTCCACTGTATCCCATTGTATCCCACTGTATCCCATTATATCCTACTGTATCCTCTTGTATCCCACTGTATCCCCCTGTATCCTCTTGTATCCTATTGTATCCCACTGTATCCCATTGTATCCCACTGTATCCCACTGTATCCCATTGTATCCCATTGTTGCAGGCCCAACCTGCCACCCATCTGGCAGGAGGGAAGAGTAAAGACTTGTTCCCCAGGCCTTTAATCAGACCACTTGTCAGGGCTTGACCAAGCACCCCATTGTACCCTAGCTGTAGCTGTAATGGCTTCTTTGAGTGTCTTATCCACGGTCACCAGCAGAGTAGAAGTCATCAAGGGCTGCTCTCTCAGAGTGGTGCATCCCCAGAGACTGGGAACACCATCCAGGGTACATGTTTGACTCTGGCACACTCCTGGTTGCCTCCTAGCTGTGAGCATGAGGTCAGTCATGGCCCCTTCCCTGGGCCTGGGCCTTCCTAGGGCCACTTGTGGCCCAGGAGTTGGTAGTAGTGGAGCTGCCTTGATGACCACCGTGACAAGGTCCAGTGCCCTGTATGCTCCACAGATCTTGGGGCTGGGAGACAGGTCGTCCCTGGGCAGAAATTCAAGTTCCTCTTTCCTGGGCAGTGGAGGACCCTGGGAAAGGGAAGCAATATTCATCTTTCCCCACATGGCGGCAGCTACACTCTGAAGATCCTGTTCCTCTGTGTGGGGACACAGACACCGCTACCACCTTGAGGTCTACTCACTCCTGGGCACCCTCCTCCCCTGGCAGAATGCCCCATGATTGAATGCATATTACCTTGACAATACTCACTCCTGCTTCCTGTCCCTGAGGCCAGTGGGGTCTGGGTCACCTCAGACAGCCTGCCTGGGGCTGCTCTGTGGCCTCAGTCTGCTGCTAGACATCCCCATGTCATCACTGACTGTCCTGGGGCCCCAGCTGTGGCTAGACCATACTACAACCTCAATGTCCCAGTTCCTGGGTTTGGGGCCTGGGAAAAGCCACTCACAGCCACCAGCTTCTGTGTCCTTGTCTTTGTGTCGTTTCTGTTGCTGTGATAAAATACTCTGACAAAAGGCACCTTCGTGGAGAAGAGGTACATTTGGCTTACAATTCCGGGTCACAGTCCATCATTGTGGGGGAGTCCAGTCAAGAACCTATGGCAGCTGGTCACATCACAGGAACAGTCAAGGGCAGAGAGAGAATAAATTCACACACACTTCCTTGTGCCCAGCCTGCTCTCTACATCATACAGTCCAGAGTCCCCCACTCAGGGAATGTACTGCCCACAGTGGGTTGGGTCTTTCCATGTCACCTAGCAATCCAGATAATCTCCCCTAGGTATGCCCACAGACCCACCTGATCTAGACGGTCCCTCACTGAGATTCTTTTCCTGGATGATGTCAGGTTGTTAAACTGACAATTAACACTAGGTGTCAAAGTCTTCAAAACCCAGACTGCCACCCATTGCACACCGACCTCATCCTGCAGTGTGCCCAGCTCCCAAGACGTGTGACCTCGGCCTCAGCCTAACCCGGTGAGCCATGCTGTTGTTTTTCCCGAGTCTCCTCTTCCCAGAAGTGCAGGAACATGATCGGCCATCCTGTCACAGCCAGAGCCAGAGGGACACACATGGCCTGAAGTACACCAGCCCGCCCTGCTCCTCCTCCCTTGGTGACACACAGCAATCCCTTCACAGATCACACAAGGCCCAACCACAATTAAGACCCATAGTAGTGCAGCTCCCTAGGTGGATCCCCTCCACATCTGGCTTGGAAGTGACCGCAGCTAAAAGTGGCTTGTGACTTATGCCATAGGCTGTCTTCTGCCAGTGAGCTTATCACCCACTGGGGAAATGTCCCAGGCATCTACGGAGTGCCATTCCCAGTCAGACGTGCATGTTCAAAGGTGTCTGGATAAGTCATGCCCCTGGGCAAAACCAGTGGCCCTGGGAGACCAACCTGAGACCCTAGTAGTGTTCTTTGGGAGGTGTGGATTAAGTTTGTGAAGGAGCTTCAGTAAGGGAGTTGCCCAGGGGTCACACACACACACACACACACACACACACACACACACACACCCCCCTCACACAGAAAAATTGATTCTGAATCTTGAACGTCTCCTTCACCACTGGCCCTGCATCTGAGTGATCTGACTAAAGCTAAGCATTTGCCCTTACAGATCCAGCCTTTTGCTCAGCCTGTTTGCAGTGAGCTCTTAGGATCTCATTCCTGGAGCTGGTATTGTCATGGTTGGTCTGTGTCCTGTCCATGTTCCTAGCATACATGCATTGCCCATACATTGACATGTGCAGGCACACAGGAGCAGGGTTGCAGCCCAAACATGTGGTTCAGCTGAGCTTAGGCCCAGCAAACCCAAAGGGAGTGTTCAGAGTTCCACTACCAGGATTGTAGCGCTGGCAATGTGAGTGTGCAGCGTCCTTTCTGTGAGTGCGCACAAGCTTACTGAGGTCAGAGCACAACCTCCCAAGTGTCGTTCCTCAGGTGCCTTCCATCTTTGGTGTGAAACAGGGTCTCTACTGTCCTTGAACGTTGCCAGGTAGCAAACCTGGCTAGCCAGTGTGTTCCAGGGGTCTGCCTGTGTCTTCCTCCATCTCAGCACGGCTGCAACTACAAGCCCATTCCACCACTCCCGGTTCCTACCACTATCTCTGGGGATTGGATTTGGATCCTTAGGCTTGCAAGGCAAGCACTTTACCCACTAAGCCCTCTCTCAAACCCCATGGAGCTTCTGGTCTGGGTCCCCTGCCTGATTCTTCCAAGGTCTGACTCTAAGCTAGAGACAACTGAGGGAGGTTGACATGGAAGATCGGAAGGACAAGCTTCTGCGGGAAGCCTCTGAGTGCCCATACATGTCGATGGCTTCTCCTGTGGCTTGAGGTTCTTAGTGGGGTATTTGTGCCCCACGGGCCTTTCTGAGAATATCACCTTTTGTCTCCACAGGCCTCCCACCCTGAGCGGCAGCCCTGTCATCTCAGATATCTCCTTGATCCGACTTTCTCCACACCCTGCCGGCCCCGGGGAATCCCCCTTCAGTGCGCACCACCCTTACGTGAACCCCCATATGGAGCACTACCTCCGGTCTGTACACAGCAGCCCCACACTCTCAATGATCTCTGCAGCCAGGGGCCTCAGCCCTGCTGATGGTAAGTGGTGTTGGAGCAGGAGCAGCAGGGACATTGGGTGCTACGGGTGACTCAGTGGCTCTGTCCACACAGCCAGGCTGTTGTCCATCGTCTTCCCATAACACGTAAAATTACCATTTCATCAATGGGTGGATCTATTGATTACGTCAAAGCCCTCATGGCCCAGTCATCTCCCCCAAAGGACCACCTCTGCACATTGCACTGCGGACCCAAGTTTTCATACATGAGCCACTGAGGGATAGTTCATATCCAGACCATAGCAGCCACATCATAGGAACAGACTGCTGCTTGCAACACACCAAAGGCTGTAGAAGCCAGTGTTAAGGGCTATTGTGTAGGAATATCTCCAGAAACTGAACATCAAAAGGAAGGCAGAGCAGAGCTAGCCGCCGCCTGGATCTCTGTTTTCTGTCTCTGTGCCGATCAACACAGATGGTGTCCTAACCCCCAGGGATCCCCTGGAGCTGAGTTACAGGCAGCTGAGGCCCCAACCCCCAGGGACAGACCAGTGACTTTGTGTCAGCTCAGAGGCTTAGAAGGGACCAACCCACTGGATCAGGTTGATTTGAACCAGAAGTGAGCCGTCATGTAATATAGTGACTCTCTCAGATCTAAATTCTATCCTGGGGGCTGAAGAGACAGCTCAGTTGGCGAGTCTGAGTTCAGTCATCCAGAACCCAAGATTTTAAAAAAGAAAAGAAACAAGAAGTAGGACCCAGTGGCAATCCACTGGACTCCCAGCCCTGGGGGGACAGAGACTGCGGTCCTCTTGCTGGCCAGTCTAGCAGAATCAGGGAGGTCCCAGTTCAGTGAGAGACCCTGCCTCAAAAAGACAGCAGAGAGCAACTGAGGAAGACATCCAGTGTTGATCTCTGGTCTCCATGTGAGCTCAGGTGGCGATGGGTGGGCTAAGAGGTTCCCCGTTGAGACTCCAGGCCAGAGCTGAATTTCTTTTTACTTCCTTAAACAGCAAATTCTGGTTTTTTAGATTTTATTTATATATTTTCATTTCATGTGTGTGTGCATGCGCGTTTGCATAGGTTCCTCCAGAGGCCAGAAGAGAGTATTAGATCTCCTGGAGCTGGAGTGACAGGTAGTTGTGAGCCATTCACCATGTGTGCTGGGAACTGAACTCAGGTCCTCCGCTGCAACAGCAGTGTGTACGCTTAACTGCCGAGCTATCCCTTGGACAGTAAATTCTGACGGTTCCTCTCTTACCTTCTGTGACAGTGGCCCACGAGCATCTGAAAGAGAGAGGGCTATTTGGTCTTGCTGCCCCAGCTCCCAATCCTTCAGACTATTACCACCAGATGACCCTCATGGCAAGCCACCCGACACCTTATGGGGACCTGCTAATGCAGAGTGGGGGTGCTGCCAGCGCACCCCACCTCCATGACTACCTCAATCCTGTGGATGGTGAGTAGTCGAGGGAGCACGGAGGGGAAATGGTGTAGAGTGAGGGTGACTGGCTGGCTGGCACAAAAAGCAGTCATTCAGTCCCTCTGGAGGCAAGAGACACAAGTAGAAGTCTACACTGCACCCCAACACTGTCGACACTGCTGCCATGGGGACTGAGGCTGAGTGGCCAAGAGCCCTGTAGGAATAGAACATACTCACTTAACTTTGGGAAGGATCTGTAGTGGGAGCTGCAGACACCACCCAGCACCGGGGATTGGTAAACTGAGATGGGATAGGGTAAACAAACTAGGGATGGAGGCGCATCCTGGGGTAATGGGATGCAAATCTGAGAAAGAGTCGGAGAGTCGGGAGACAGAGGTGTCCCTCACCAGTTGTGCAGGGCATGCTAATCAAGCACAGAGCTGAAGAGGCGAGTCCACCCACTAGCTCAGAGAAGAGCTGTCCCAGCAGAGGATCAGCTGGTGCAAAGGGCCTGAGCCGTGCTCCTGCTGGGCTCAGGAGACCAGTGTGATGGGTAGAAATCAAGCAAAAGGCAGGAATGGTGCTGAGGCCAGTGTTCGGGGGTGGGCTGTGCCACCTAGCTGGGGCTTGTTCAAGGCTTTGCTGGAGTGAAGTGGGGCTGTGGAGTCATGCTGATCTGAGAACTGAGTCGGGGCAGGCAGCAGTAGACCCCGACAGTGAGCCATAGGTGAGTTGCTTTCAGGGAGATTACTGGATAGAGATGTAAGACATGTTCCCATCTTGGACGTGGACGTGCAGGGAAAGAGGAGCGCAGCACTTACGTTCCTTCTTGCCTCTTTGCTGTGACCGAATATTGACGCCTCACACCCCAACCCCCAGTAAAAGAAACCTGACAGAGGCGCCATAGGAAGGAAGATTTGTTGCGGCTCACACTTCAGTCATGGTGGGCAAGGCGTGGTGGCAGGAGCGTGAGGCAGCAGGGCACGTCACATCCAGTCAAGAAGCAGAGACAAGCCGTCTTATCCTCTGTGTTCAGTCTGGACCCCAGCCCATAGCACAGTGTGGCTCACCGTCAGGGTGGGCCTTCTCACCTCAGTCGGCACGATCCAGAAAACCCTCCACACGCACATGTCTCCTGGATGATTCTGTACCTTTCCGAGTTAGCAACGGTTATAAACCATCCTAAAGAGCCGAGGTCAATGCCAGGTCTAGGGCCCAAGAGATAGGATGGGCTGTCAAGACGGGGCATGTGCTGGGCTGTTTTACGGGGTGGGCGGTCGGGAGTCTCGGACGGATGAGGTCTCGGGTGCACATCAGACACCCCGCCCTTCCTTCTCACCTGAAGCCATCCCTGTGGCTGCTCTCACAGAGTGCCATAGCCCCCTGACCACGAGCCCCTGGGTCGGCATGCAGCCCCTGCCCGTGGGAAAGGAATGAAGCTCAGTACCATTGCCCCCCTCCGTCCAGCAACCCTAGAGCTGTCCAAGGACGCGGGGCTGCAAGCTAAGCAGAGTGGAAACCATCAAGAACTAGGCTGGTGGCGCCTTCAGGCAGCTCTCCTCTGGCCCTGCCAGGAGCAGCTTCTTCATGCCACAGTGGCACGTGGTGGGGGAGACAGACCTGCCACAGAGAGGCCATCTGGTCCTGCAGGGCAGCAGGTTGGAAACGGGCTGTGGCAGCTGTTTAGAGGCTGCCGAGGCTGCGAGATTCAGGGTGGGCCCGTAGCATCCAGGCCTCCGCTCACACCCTAGGCTCCATTCCTGGGCTCCCTGCCACATCCACCACTGCAGCTCTGCTCACTGACCTTCTCCAGTTGTCCAGTTGAGCTATCTCTTTACAGAGGTGGGACTAAAAGTGTTCCTTCTCCAGGAAGTCTGTCTAGACGCTTCCTGCTTCCTCTGGTTTGTCGTGCCTCTCTGAGACTTAAAGACACCCCCCCACACACCACCACCACCACACATGCAAGGTCAAGTTTCTGTCCATGCCTGCCGTTCCCTGATGGGAGGCTGCTGAGTGCCAAAGTAATGCTGCCAACATTCAGTCTAGTGTCTGTCCCACCCTTCAGTGCCTTCCCCAAGAAGGTGTTGGGTCCAGGATTCAGCATAGTGTAGGGGCCCGTCTGTGGGGCTCCTTTCCCATCCTTTCCCACAGCAGGGAGTGGGGTCAGGGATTAGGGAGGGTGCATCCCAGACACCGTGTTTTCCAGTGTTGCAAACCCAGCCACAGCAGCACGAGGCAGGAGGGAGGTGCTGAGGTCAAGTGCAGAGTCATGCCCACATGCCAGCTTCTGCCGCTCTGGGCAGCCTCCCTCCAAGGGCTAGAGCAGGAACGTGGACATCACTGGCAAGTGGACAGATGCATTGATGCCGTGGTGAGGGGACCAAGTTGAGCAGGTGTGCCCACACAGCAGGAGAGGCAGAACTGGGCAGCTAGGCATCACACTGTGGCTGCGCGCCTGAGCGCCTGCCTGGGTGTGCATCTCCATGCACTGCAATGCATGCAAAGGACAAAGAAATGACAGTGTTTGTCCTGCGGCTAGAGTTAGGACCTTGCTTAGGATGAGCAGACATGTCCTCTAGGTGGAGTTCTAAGCCTAGCTCTCTTAGCTGGGCCACAATGCCCCCTTGCCAGTTCCTGAACTCTCTCCTTGAGAAGGCAGCTGGGCAGCTGGGTTTGGAGTCGGCACAGAGCAGCAGGGCAGGAAGCAGAGGGGAGCCAGCACTGATACCTTGGGACCTAGTGAGGAGACAGCAGGGGGGACCCAGGTCAGCCTCTGCTGTGCCCACTTTCTCTGGGATGGCTAGGTCTAGAGATATCAGTAAGTGGGACACGATGTTTATATGCCAAGTGGATGAAGCTGGCTTAAGGACTATGCAGTTAATGTAGAATAAAGGTAAATGTGGTCTACTGGCTGGCATACACTGGGTGCTCAATTAATGCTAGGTGTGACCTCTGGCTACCAGTATCCCTTTACCTCCTTCCAATCCACCCTCATCTCCAGGAGTCCACATCTTAGCTGTCATCACCCCCTTGCACGTAGAGTATCTACCCGGGTCATAGGCCACTCTGGGCATCATGTCCTCATCACCTCCCAAGTGTGCTAGGTGTGGCTTGTCCCCTCTCCCCACAGCACTGCACTTACCAGAGTTATCAGGGCCAGAGTCTGGGCCCTGGCAGCAACAAGAAGTCCGGCTCAGCAGTCCATCCTCAATAGGCCAACTAAACAGATTAGTAATAGTGAGAAGCAGAGAAGGATCTGGAAGGATCTGTTCGCTGTGGCCACATTGGGAAGAGGAACAAAGTGGTCCAGTGAACACACACACACACACACACACACACACACACACACACACACACACACACACACTCCATCTTCAGGGTTTAAATAGGAAGTTTAGGTTTAAATGGAAAGTGAGAGGTATACATAGCTAAGTGGTCCTGGTCAATGTGGGGTCTAGCCATCAAATATTCCCTGCAAGATGTTCTGACAAGTTGTCAGAACTGTGTGAACTCTTTCTGGGAGACAAGCTCACCCTCAGGCTGGCCCCAGGTTTCAGCCCTTCCCATCTTCCAGTGTGAGCTTCCTGGGGAAATTTCCACTTCTTTGGAGTCTATTGTCGGATAGCCGTGGGACTCGACACAAGAGTCTCTTGAGGGTGTCTTCTTTCCTGCAGCCTCATTGCTGCCTCCCAGAGCAGGTCCCCTGGTGTCTCCTGCTCTGTTTGTCTGTGGTGGCATGCCAGAGTGCTTGAGAGCTGTGCACCTCCAAAGTCATCCCAGGCACCAAGTCCTGGGTGCCTGAGGCACCAGGGGAACTCCAGGCACCCAACTCTAGCTGACCTGGATGTCTTTCACATAAGATGGCCAGCCTTGCTGCTGGACCGGGTGGCTCACAGCCTGTAAGACCTGCTGAGTCAGCAGAGCGGCCAGTACAGGAGACCTGGGAGAGAAAGATGCAGGCTTATTAGTGCAGAAGCCACTGGAGTGGGCAGGGGAGCTGGTGCCAGCTGTGGGTGGCTTAGAAGGGGTTGCAGAGAGCTATGCTCCCCAGAACATCCAGCATTGGCTGCATCTGGGGCCTGGGCATGTCTAAGAAATAGGATGATCGGGGCTGGAGGAGTTCACAGGCTGGGAGCACCCACCTCCAAGGGCACCACACTTGCTGTAGCTTACCACAGCCACCGCACCTCTCCACTTCCACGTTAAGGTCAGCAGATTCCCAAACACCTGAGCAGGATTGGGATGGCAGGTGGTAGCTGGGGAGGACTGGGGGCCAGAATATGAACAGCCAGCTACTTCTTTCTCTTGGTTCTCAATCTGTCACAACCTAAGAAAGCCATACCGATCTGTGAGGATGTTCTGTTTTTCCTGTTCATCTTACTCAGTAGGGAGTTTCCAAGCAGATTCACTCATTATTTTTCACTCAGGTTGGAACCTAGGGCCTCGCACATGCTAAATGCCAACCCCACCGCTGAGCTAGGCTCAGACTTTACTGTTTTCTTAAAGTTTGTATTTTACTTATTTGTTGTGTATGCGTGAGCATGCATGCCACAGTGCTCATATGGGAATTGGTTTTCTCGTCGCATCATGTGGGACTGAGGGATGGAACTCCAGTCATCAGACTTGGTAGCAAGCACCTCCAACTGATGCACCATCTCAGGTCTACCCCAACCCTTTCCAAACTAGTGGGAGGCAGAGCTTCGATCTTTGCTTCAGATTTTTATAGTATATGGGGCATTTCCACTCAGCTTAGTACCTGTGTAGATAATTTGCTGTGTTTATGAGAGATGCTAAATAAGCCCTGCCCCACCCAACCTGCTCCATGGCATCCCCCAACCCCATCCTCCTCCTCCCCTCAAGCGGACCATGTGAGCCAGGGCAGACCCTGCCAACTCCTGTATTTTCTGCACCCCCACTTCCACGGGATGCTTCAGTCATGGAAAACTTAGATCTTTTTGACCAAGTTCCTTTGTGCCCAGTGTTCCTGCAGAAGAAATGACATGTGTGTGCGCGTGCGCGCACACACACACACACACACACACACACACACACACACACACACACACACAGAGTCAGAGGCTGTTTGCTCAGCATGCCTCCTGGGTGGGTTTCTCTACTGCTATGATAAAGCACTGATCAAAACCAACCTGTTGGAGAAAGGGTTTATTTCATCTTAGAACTTCCAGGTGACACTCTGTCACCGAAGGAAGCCAGGGTAGGAGCTCAAGGCAGCAATCTGGAGGCAGGAACCGAAGCAGAGACCAGGGCAAACACTGCTCACTGACTTGTTCCCCTTGGTGCGCTCAGTTTGAATTTTTATACTACCCAGGACCACCTGCCGAGGGGTGGCACCACCCACAGTGACCTGGCCCTTCCTACATCAATCGTCAATCAAGAAAATGCCACCATAGGCTCTCCTACACCCAGTCTTTGGAGACAATCTCTCAGTTGAGGTTTCTTCTTCACAGACGAGGCCAGTTTGTGTCAAGTTCACAAAACAAAACAAAATAACAACCATCACAGCCAGTACCACATACCAGGTCAGGTTCTAGGCACTAGGCGTGAGGCTGAACATCAAGTTCTGCCCCCAAAGAGCTCTCCGTCGGTCTGGCCAGGCGCCAGGCTGCTTTTTGTAAGCACGCCAATGCAGGTCCTGACCTGACCTGACCCGTCCTCACTGTCTCCTCTCTCAGCAATTGCCTTCATGTCTGGAGACGGGGCGCCCGGCAGAGAAGAGAACGTTCCAGAGGCTTTGTGTATCCTACAGAGGCATGGAGGCAGGATCTGCCAGACTGTGAGGCAATCTGAGGAGAAGGCTAGTGGGCACTCAGCCCTCAGATCCCCCTCCAGCTCTCCTATACCTACAACATGGCTTTACCTTAGTTAAGCACCCAATGCACGACAGTGTGTTGAACAATCATAACTGACTTAACTTTGGGGATTAAATAAACAGTTCTTAAAATGGAACTTTTTTCATGTAGCCCAGCCTGGCCTTGAACTCACTAAGTAGCTGAGGATGACCTTGAACTTCTGATCCTCCTGCCTCTACCTCCCAGGTGCTAAAATTACAGGCCTGTACCATCACGCCGATTTATGTGGTGCTGGGTGCAGAACCCAGGGCTTCATACTTGATAGACAAGCAATCTCCACCAAGTGAGCTACATCCCCACCCCTAGAACTTCACCTTTTTCTCCTGAAAGGGTGAACTTGATCATAAGCTGAAGAGGTTGTCTGTGTCTGAGAACTTACAATAGCTTCTCATGGGTTTTGTGGGCACCCCACAATGGGACACTTTGGGTGGGTCAGGAAGAGAGCAAGGCCTCTGACAGGTCCAGACACCAATGCCGCCTTCCTCTCTGGGCCACAGTGAGGGCAGGACCGGGGTGATGAGGCTCCGCTACAGGTGCCTCTCCTCCATGTCCTTTCTTCTCTTGCCTGGTTTTTAGCAAGAAGACCAGGAGATGAGCCCCTGAGAAGAGAACAGAACTAGCCTCGAATCCAAAGGCATCCATTCCTCCGCTGGTGGTTCTGCAGAGAGAGCGAGTTCAGCCCTTGTCCCAGCCCCCCAGCATGGGACTTTCTCACACCAGGCTGCTGACATTGGTACTGTGACAGTGCCAGCAGTCAGAACCTACCAACCCCATCACCCCAAGAAGATTGAAATGTCCTGATTGAAGTACTGTCTGCTCATGGCCCTATAACTCCTCAGCTGTGTGTTTTATTGTCATATTGACACTAATTTGACTCGGATGTCACCTCCATCCTAATGCTCATTCTTTATTCAGGCTGCGGAGGGGGAGGCTCAGAAGCCCATGGCATTGATCTCACAGGAGAGAGGCAGACAATCGCTGGGGCCTCAGGGGACTGACTGATTCCAGCAGGGAGTCCAGGCCCCAGCCTGGGACAGAGGGGAGACTGAGGCTGAGGAGAGCAAAACTGCATGTCCCAAAGGCTGCTGAGTACAGGCTGCGTTTGAGCTGGGTCAGAGAGGCCGTTTGATAAACCTGAGTTGACCAGGATACAAAGGAACTAACTGCCCTTGTGCCGTAACTTAGGTAGGAGACAGTGGCCTCTACCTAGGTCCTCAGCTCTGTGATTCCTCCATGTGAAAGATGGGGCCTTTGGTCAGTGAAGTGTAAGCAGAGTACTTGGGCTGAATTCCTCAGAACACAACCTAAGAGTGAGCCCAGGAAAGACCTGGGCCAGCTGTAGTGGATTACACCTGTAATCCCAGCGCTTAGAAGATGTAAGTGGAAGAATCAGGAGTTCAAGGTCACACCTGGCTACATCAGGACCCTGCCTCAAAAAAAGGAATAAAAGGAGGGGGATGTGGTGGGGAAGATTTGGCCCATTCAGCAAAAGGTTTGGCCTTGAACGTATGAGGACATGAGTTCAAATTCCCAGGTGACTGCACCTGTAACCCCACAGTGGACACGGCAGGAGTGACCTCACCTCTAACCCCAGCAGTAGACACGGGAGGGGTGACCTCACCTGTAACCCCAGCAGTGGGAGGCAGGAGGCAGCTGCAGGAGGATCCCTGAAAGCTTGGAGGCCAGCCAGCTTAGCCGAATCGGTGGGCCCAGGCCAAAGAGCCAGCTGGCCCAAAAAGTATCAGTGTTGACATGGTCTCCCTGCACACACATGTATATGTACACATGCTCACATATGTGACCATATACAAGGAGGAAAGGAGAGGAGATGGAAGGGGAGGGGAGAGGGAAGAGGTGGGGTTGGAAGGGGAGGGGAGGGGAGCTAATGGGTGAGACAGAGTCAGAGATAGGTGGGGACAGGAACTGGCCACATCAGGCATCTTCTGAGGGAGAGCAGGCCAGTGGCCGGTCACTCGGTGGCCAGTGTTAGGACAGGCAGCAACCACAGATGAATGGCTGCTGGAGCGCACCAGTCCCCAGACATAAATCACGGGAAAAGCACGGGAAATGAGTGCCAGGCTTTTCTTCCTATTTAGTGATTTATCAAGGGAAGAGACGCGTTAATAAACACATTTCCCTCGAGGGCCAGGAATAACAGAGATGAATACCACTGTCAGTTTTGGCCTGCTTCCTCTTGTTAGGGGCACCCGAGAGGGTGGGAGTCAGAGTGTTAGCAGCGAAATCTCCTTTTGAAAAATATATGACGGCGGGCCATGGCGATAGCTCCGTCAAGGAAACTGCTTGCCTTGCAAGCCTGGGCCCTGAGTTCCGTTCCCTGGGACCCCTGTGCGGAAGGGTGTGCCGGCGCATCCTCCCAAAGGTGGAGACGGGTTGATACCTGGGATTTGATACCCACCCCACCCCCCAGCCTAGCTTACTTGGTGAGTTCTAGGCCTGTCTAAAAAAGATGGAGGTTCCTGAGAAACAACACCTGAGAATGTCTTCTGGACTGTACACACACATGTGCGCACACACACACACACACAAACACACATGCCAAAAGAAAATAATGTTCCAAAGACTACATGAGTCTTCCTTGAGCAGATGCGAGATCCTTTGCGTCCCCTCATGTTCCACTTAGTTCATAACAGAGTCTGGGGGAGGACCTCCTTTTGCATCTAGCTTTGAGGTAAGGATCATCAAAGCATGGAAATGGCGTGCTCAGGGAATGCCCCGACGGAAGCCTACGGGGCGAAAGTGTTGTAGGTCACTGCCACAGGCTCGGGCATCTTTTCTAGACTTTGGCTCTTTATCATACACTGTCAGCCCACTCTGCCTGTCCACACAGGCCTGCTCACCCCTTGAGGGATCCCTGGGCATTAGCCATTTCACCCAGGCTTGTGGACAGGGTCACAGGTACCATTCTTGGGGCTCTGTGTTGCTTCACAACAGCCTGTACAGCACACCATCTTGCCTTTGTTAGAGGGAGGCTGGGGAAGGTTGTGTGATATCCTGCACAGCATTTGGGCAGTACCAGGGCTGCTGCAAGCAGCATCTCCAGCCGAGGCGTATGAAGGCCCAGACTCCCAGATGGAGGCCAGCAAGGCAGGGAGGCCATGCTCCTCACAGGTATCTAGAAAGGTAAAGACATACTCCAGCATTCACTTTATTTTTGCTACAGGCCAGGCCACCCATCACCTAACTTCACATCTTATGGCAGCCCCGAAGGCTGTCTCTACTGTAAGACCCCATTGTGAGACAGTGAACAAACTTTAGTGACCAGAGGCATCCAATGATGTCAGAGCATTTCTGGGCCACTGCTGTCCAGAGGAGAGATCCAGAAGTCCTCAGCGGGTGAAGGAGGGAGAGCAGACTGGAGCCTGGAGTGCCAGGAGCTTGTGTGTGTGTATGTGTGTGTGTGTGTGTGTGTGTGTGTGTGTGTGTGTGTGTGTGTGTGTGTGTGTGTGTATTAGTATACATACATACAGGAGTGTCTAAGCATGGGTGGCCTATGTACCTACATGCAGAGATATATGTGTGCATGCTCAGGATTCAAAACATTCAAAACAACACATTCCCACAGCTTAGGTGGCTCAGAGCTGAGGGTCCCCAAGGGTGAACACATCTGACCATTGCCCTTCTTCTGCCTCCTTGGTCCCTCACAGCATCCTTTCCAGTAAGTTCTGAGAAGCCAGCCAGAAGCCAAGTATCACTCTAAGACAGCGGGGCAGCCATCCAGCCTCTGTTTAGCAAGGTTTCTCCAGAGTGCAGGGAATTCTGGTGTAATACCAGCTGCAACAAAGCCCGTGACCCTGTGGCGCATAACTGTTCACCCCCATGAGAACCTCTTCAGTGTTGAAGATGCGCCCATCACCACCACACCACAGCACGGAGAAATCAATGGACATTGATGATGTGGGTGGAAATCGGTGATACTAACATGTCTTTCCTTGGCTGTCCACAGCGTCGCGATTCTCTAGCCCACGTGTGACCCCCCGCCTGAGCCGCAAGCGGGCGCTCTCCATCTCCCCACTCTCAGATGCCAGCCTCGACCTGCAGCGCATGATCCGGACCTCTCCCAACTCGCTGGTAGCTTATATCAACAACTCCAGGAGCAGCTCAGCAGCCAGCGGCTCCTATGGACATCTGTCAGCCGGTGCCCTCAGGTGAGCCCCAACAGCACATGGTGGTAAGAACTGGTAGCTGGGCGGGGGCCACATGGCAGAATGTGGCCTTTCAGGTAGAGCTTTCTACTGGAGAAAGCAGAACTTAACGCCAGTGTCTCAACACACTAGCAACTATGTTGATAATTCAAAAGCAACAGTGAAGCTGGGGATGTGACTTTTTGGTGGAATCCCTGACTGACATGCACGAAGCCCTGGGTTCCATCCCCAGGACTGTATAAAACCAGGCGTGGTGGCACATGCCAGTAATCCCAGCACTCAGGACACAGCGGCAGGAGGATCAGAAGTTCAGAACCACTGGCTACTTAGTGAGTTTGAGGACAGCCTGGGCTACAAGAGGTCCTAATATGTAAACAACAACAAATCAACAGTGACTCAGAGAGTTCACACCAGCCCTGGAGTACATCCTTACATGGGAAACCTGTCATCGGGGGTTTCATCACGGCATCAGAGGTAGCCAAGGTCAAATGTGGCCTTCTTAGGAGCTGGGGACATAACCTAGTGGGTAGAAACAGTAGCCACACAAGTGTAAGCGTTGTTTGAAAAGTCAGGCATGTAGCACAAGTATCCATAGTCAGCACTCCTGTGGAGGGGTGGAGGTGGAGACAGGAGAGTCCCTAGAAGCTCATGGCCGGCCAGCATGTAGTACGTCGTGGAAAAACAACAGAGACCCTGTCGCTAACACGTTGGAAGGTGAGGACTGATACCTGAAGTTGTCTTTGACCTCCATATGTATACTTTGCCATGTTCCTTACCTGCATATACAAATGCTGAAAAATACATATACATCTGTGTACACACACACACACACACACACACACACACACACACACACACACACGGTTGTTAATGAAGTGGCTGTTCTAGTATTTCACTAGTGTGGCAGAGGATCTCGCTGTTGGCTATCACGAAAGGTCACACCACGTGTGACACTGATGTGATCCATGCCCTAAGCACATCTCAAGGGCTGGTAACAGGTCTCACTGTGGCCCCATCAACGCTGCTCTCTCCCTTCCACTCCATGCACCTCCCCGAGGACTCAGATCCAACCAGCATGACCGAAATACGTGCCTGCCCCAGCCCTGGCCGCTTGTGAGGGCTGGATACAGGTGCTTACAGTGCAGTTGTTTACAGTATCTGCTGCGTAGCCAGTTGCTCTCACACGGAGCATTTTAAATGCTAAGCCCACCACACCAAGGAGCAAGAATTTGAGGCTGACGGGGCTGGAGAGATGGCTCAGCTGTTAAGAGCATTTGCTACTCTTCCAGAGGACCTGGATTTGGTTCCCAGAACCCACATTGGGCAATTCACAACCACTGGTAACTTTAGCTCCGGGGGATTCAGTGCCCACTTCTGGCCTGTGTGGGTGCCCACACATACATAGCCACAGACATATAAATAAAAATGTTTTTTAAAAAAATCTAAAAACAAAAGAGAGAGAGAGAATTTGAGGTTAGCATAGTTCTGAGTTCCCCCTTAAGACACCGAGGCTTCGTCTTTGCCTCTTTTGCAGATTATGGGACGACCTGGACCTCTGTGTCCAGAAGCATGTCCCCGGTGCTGTGGACAGGAGACTCTACATGGGGCCTTCTCATGGCATTAGCTCACACTGCAGAGATGCTGGGGTGAGCAAGGAGGAAACCGTATAGCCTCAGGGGCCACCACCATCCCCTTATCTCTTGCCAGGAAAAAGTGCCTCATGGGCAAGTGTATGACAGCCTGTAAGTGCAGCAGAAGCTAATATGGGGGTGGGGGGAATGGTGCGAGCTGAAGGGCTCAGTACCACGGAGGGAGCACAGTGGTCCAGGGTCAAGTGAAGTTCCAATAGACAGCATTGCCTCAGGGTGCATCTCAGGTGTCAGGGCACAGAAGCAGCCAGGTGCGGGGCTGAGCTGGAGCCTGGCACCTGCAGGGAGCCAGCCTGCCCAGGGTCAAGGTTGCATTCACGGAGTTAGGTTTGGGCAGTAAGCCTATACAAGGGAAAGCCATGGGCACGGTATGACTGGCATTGTGCCACCTTGAACTCAGGTACAGTCCTGTCTGCCCAGGAAGTGTTGGTTTGACGGTGAACCCACGTGTTCCCCATCCCCTTCTGTTCTCCGCTGCAGCCCAGCCTTTACCTTCCCCCACCCCATCAACCCCGTGGCCTACCAGCAGATCCTGAGCCAGCAGCGGGGCCTGGGCTCAGCCTTCGGACACACGCCACCCCTGATCCAGCCTTCACCCACCTTCCTGGCCCAGCAGCCCATGGCGCTCACCTCCATCAGCACCATGCCTACCCAGCTCAGCAGCAACAACAGCAATTGTCTAAATGATGCCAACCAGGTAGGTGGGTGCAGAGAACCGGAGGTGGCCACCGCTGCTCACCCAGCCCCTGAGGGCAGGTCATGCTAGGAGCTGGTAGAGCTCTGCATGCAAAGAGCTCTGCACTTTGGTGTAGCTTGAGTTTTCCTGCCTGGCCCACAGTCAGGACAAATCTCTGTCACCCGCCAGTCCCGCAGCAGCTCAGACCCAAGCAAGTAAACACACAGAGACTTATATTGATTACAAACTCTGTGGCAGGCTTCTTGCTAACTGTTCTTATATCTTAAATTAATCCATTTCCATAAATCTATACCTTGCCACGTAGCTCGTGGCTTACCGGCATCTTCACATGCGGCTTGTCATGGCGGCCCTTCCACCTTCCTGTTCTCTCAGTTCTCCTCTCTGTTAGTCCCGCCTATACTTCCTGCCTGGCCACTGGACAATCAGTGTTTTATTTATTGACCAATCAGAGCTAAGCCCCCATCACTCAGTCTGTCCTCTGTCCAATAAGCGTGAAGGGCTGGAGAAGCGCTTCAATGCACAGGGTCCTGTGCCACACAGAAACACTACACGCCTCATGTGAAACAAGGTATCTGGGCTCCCCTGCCTCAGCTGGGCCTGGTTGGAGGAGCAGTCCAAGAGACTCAGTTTTTGATGCTTCAAAAATACAGAAGGGTGGGAAAGCTAAGGAGGTAAGTCAGTGGGTGAAGAGTTTGCTTTGCAAGCACGAGGTCATGCTAGGAGCTGGTAGATCCTTGATCCCCAGCATCCACATTTAAAAAGCCAGGCACTGACGGGCAGTGATGGCACACGCCTTTAATCTCAGCATTCAGGTGGCAGAGGTAGGCGGATCTCTGAGTTCAAGGCCAGCCTGGTCTACAGACTGAGTTCCAGGGCAGCCAGGGCTACAGAGAAACCCTGTCTCAAAAAAATAAAAAAAAATAAATTTAAAAATAAAAAGCCAGACATAGTGATATATGTTTGTGATTCTAACACTAGGGAGGTGGGGACAGGTGGATCTCTGGGGCTAAGTGACCAGCCAGCCTAGCCTAACTGGGGAGTCCTAGGTCCCAGTGAGAGACCCTCAAAAAGTGTGGGTGATGGCTAAGAAACATACTTAAGAGTAACCTCTGATCTCCACATATGTGCATACACATGAACACAAATATACAGATGTGAACCCGCACATAACGCGTACTGCACACATATGTGTACACATACATCCCAATACAGGGTTATCCTAGATGGTCTGTGTGGTCCAACTCCAGAGGCACAGCTCAGACAGAATTCAGGGGTCCTCTGCCTTGTGCCCGTGTGACAGACTATCCTCTGCCTCCTCCCTCAGAACAAACAGAACAGCGAGTCCGCTGTGAGCAGCACCGTGAATCCCATCACCATTCATAAGCGCAGCAAGGTCAAGACTGAGGCTGAGGGCCTGCGGCCAGCCTCCCCACTGGGACTGACGCAGGTAACCTGCTGCCCACTGGCACTGTGCTTGGGCTGGGACCAGGCTGGATCTCCTGGTTTGGCTGATGTTGGGCACTAGTGGTGAATGGATGGGAGAAAGGAGAGGAACAGACGGAGGAAGGGATGGGTGGGTGGGTGGATGGATGGATGGATGGATGGATGGATGGATGGATGGATAGATGGATGGATGGATGGATGGATAGATGGATGGATGGATGGCCATCCGCAGAACTTAGAAAGTCAGAGTGTAGGTGGGCTCACAGAGCTGTGACCCTCTTGACTCAGCACCCTGCACATATATCATCTTTATCAAATACAAATGAGTAAATGAATGAATAAATGTTCTACTCTTCCACCTTGCCACATGTGCTAAATGTATGGCCAAATTGATGAATGAATACGTATGTTTCCTTCCCTCCCACCCCGCTTCAGGCTGCAGTTATCCCCACATACAGCCTCGGCCAAGGGACTGAGCCGCTCAAGTCCCCTGAGTGGCTGTGGTCCTTAAGGCTGCCCCCTCTCCTGGAGCTCACTGCTCACACTACATCCTTTACTACTGCTGCTCCTGAGTAAGGGGACTTGCAGACACTTGGATGCCAGTTGCTGGGTCACTTAGGGTGGGAGGAAGGATAATTCCTGATGGGAAGAGTAAAGATGGGACAGCTGTGGCCTGGGGCCAGCGTGCGTGGGGCCAGCCTCCATGGAGAGCCCCTCAGAAGCCTTGCTGTTTGCTGTGCTCCCTGGGAGGACAGGCAGGCCATTGCTGCTCCTCCTCCAGGAGACTGCCGCTTGAAAGGCTTGGCATCTACTGACCTTGGCTTTAGGCCTCCTAGCCCTGAGCCCTCACAGTGGCATACTCTCCATCTATTGCTCCGGAGTTCCCAGCCACCAAGGATGCTCAGGGCCTCCAGTCCCTGGCTCCCAGCATCTGCTGGCCCATCCTTTATCAGGACTGTAAGCCATCAGGCATGCTCTAGGCACTTCATTTTCATGAAATATTGGGTCCTCTTATTGTCAGGCAAACAGAGGGGTTGGTGACAAACTCTTCTCCTGTCACTGACACCAGCGCCAGTCTGAACATGATGCATAGTTTCCACGAGGCTGGCCGTCATGGGGAGGGGGTGTGTGCTGGAATTGATGAGGACAGCTCACATCCAGGGAAGAAGATAAACATGCAGGAATGTTGAGGACAGGGAGGGGGCCAGGGATGGGTGCTTGCCAAGCACCTTGGAGTCTCACTCCCCATCCATGGGTGGGGCCTCATTACTGCCCCATACTCTAGGAAGGCCACCCAGAGGTCTTTCTTCTTCCTGCCCAGCGCCCAGAGCCCTTTAAAAACAAAACTGTTTTGCAAGGGGCTGGGAAGATGACCCAGTCAGTACAGTGCTTGCCACATAGGCACAAGGACCTGAGTTTGAATCCCTAGCACCCATGTAAAAAGCTGGACACGGTGACATGTAACTATAATCTCAGTGCTGGGGAGGCAGAGACAGGTGGATCCCTGGGGCTTGCCGGTCAAACAGTCTAACTGCATCAGCATGCTCTCAGATCAGTGAGACTCTGTCTCACTAAAACAGAGTGGGCGGTGACTGAGGAATGACAGCTAAGATTCTCCTCTGGCCTTCAATTCATGCACAGCAGTGTACCTGAACACACACACACACACACACACACACACACACACACACACACACACATCCTTAACCAGAGTCTACACAGATAGGAATAAGAACCATGCTCTATGTCTCTCTGTCTTCTACATGCCTGAGTGTGCATGCCCATACACACACACACACACACACACACACACACACACACACACACACACACACACACAATTATTATACAGAGTTACTTAAGCCCAATTTCATATAAGTGCATAGTGTAGCATATTCTCCCCATACCCTGATTCCCTCTACCCTCTCACTAGCGCCCCCTGTGCCCCTTGACAGCCTTATTTCTACTCCATCTACACAGGCAAGGGACTCACAAGCGAGAGAAAGAACGCAGCACTTGTTTTTCTGAGATTGATTGATTTCCTTACTGTGGTTATTTTGTTGCATCCATCCAACTAAAATCAGGGAGACAGCGGTGTCCACTTTCCCGACTCTTGTTCAACACAGAGCTTAGAGTTTCGGCTAGCGCAATATGGTGAGAGGAGATGTAAATGGGATGCAAACAGGAAGGGAAGGACTCAACGCATCCTTATTTGCAGATGACGTGACCCTTTACATGCATGAGGTCCTAAAGACTCTCCTGGAAACCTCAGAGTTGATAAACACTTGCAGCAGAGTGGCAGGATGCAAATGAACACACAAAAATCTGTAGCCTTCTTATACACCAGTAACATGCAGAGAAAGAAACCAGAAGAGCAAACTGGGCAGGGTGGACAGTCCTGGGATCCCAGCACTCTGGAGGTGGAGGCAGGAGGACTGGGGATTTAAGGCCAGCCTGGGCACCACAGTAAATGCTTGAGCTCTATGAAGCCCTATCTCAAATAAACTAAGAGATGGGGCGGGCCACAGGAAGACAATCCACTCACAGTCACCGCAGAGGGCTTTTCCTCACAAGGAGATAGGCTCCGTGCCACACCAGAGTAGAAAAGACAGAGTAGTGACTTTACTCTCTGCTGAAGCCCTTAAATTGCAGACTGGGAGAATCCCTGCTTTGGCCTTGGAGCAGCCCACCACTGGGCCTGCTGGTGCCCAGTTCTCTTGGTGCAGTCTGAACTGAGCAGAGTATATGAGTAGTGAAGATGTTTTCGAGGTTCTTTGTTTTGTTTTGTTTTGTTTGAGACATGGTTTCTCTGTGTAGTTTTGGAGCCTGTCCTGGATCTCGCTCTGTAGACCAGGCTGGCCTCGAACTCACAGAGATCCGCCTGCCTCTGCCTCCCGAGTGCTGGGATTAAAGGCGTGCGCCACCGCCGCCTGGCGGAGTAGTGAAGATGTTCCCAGACATTCTTCTGTTGCACTGCCTTATTAGGAGACCTTCTGGCCTCCTCTACAGGCTCATCTCAACAGCCCCTAGCTGCTGGGTACCCGGAAGTGAGGCGTTATCCTGACTGACCTCAGTATAGCTAGTGAGCCAGCTTACATCAACATAGTGGCAGTGTTGTCCTCTGCAGAGCAAGGGCATTAGTTGAGAGGGTCCCTGATGGTGAACCAGGATCCCTTTTGGAAGAAGTTGCAGCCCCAATGCAAAATCAGAGAAGGCCTGTGTCTGTGGCCCCCCATGGGAAATCCTGCACTTCTGAGGTGAGCTCACCGTCCCTAATGACCCGTGCCAGTGGACACTGGGGTTCTTTTTTTTTTTTTTTAAAGATTTATTTATTTATTATGTATACAGTGTTCTGTCTGCATATACACCTGCAGGTCAGAAGAGGGCACCAGATCTCTTTATGGATGGTTGTGAGCCACCATGTGGTTGCTGGGAATTGAACTCATGACCTCTGGAAGAACAGCCAGTGCTCTTAACCTCTGAGCCATCTCTCCAGCCCGACACTGGGGTTCTTAACCTGGCAAGAACTTGCCCTGTTAACCAGCAGTTTCTTTCTTTCTTTCTTTCTTTCTTTCTTTCTTTCTTTCTTTCTTTCTTTCTTTCTTTCTTTCTTTCTTTCTTTTTTTTGTTTTCGAGACAGGGTTTAGTTTTAGTGCCTGTCCTGGAACTCACTCTGTAGACCAGGCTGGCCTCGAACTCACAGAGATCTGCCTGCCTCTGCCTCCCGAGTGCTGGGATTAAAGGCGTGCACGACCGCCGCCGCCACCACCCGGCCAGCCAGCAGTTTCTTGACTTCCTGGAGGCTCTTCCTTAGTTTGTTTCTTTGTTTTGCAGTACAGGGAATGAAACATGGGGCCTTGTGCGTGTTAGGCAAACACCCTTGAGCTGTATCCACAGCCCAGAAGCTCTTTCAACGAGACAGGATACATTCCTGCTGTTTTTTTTTAAAAAAAAAAAAAAGTTCAACTGTAAAGCAAGTCCTGATAACTGCCTCTGGCCTTGCTTTGGCTCCCAGAATGCCTAGCAGATCCATTGAACGCTGGATTGTCCTCAGTGGACTTCACAGGCCCTCCCTGGACCTTGCCACCCAGCCTGGGGCACCTGCACCTGTCCGAGGCTTTTTCTTTATATCTTTGAAATGGCCTCATAATCCTAATGTGGTCAAAGGAGTGTTCCCCTTTCCATGGTGTCCCTGCCATAAAACTCTCTGGCCAAACACACGTAGGAGAGAAAAGGATCAGTTCCCTTACACTGCCAGGACAGGTCCATCCCCGAGGGAAGCCAGAGCAGGAACTTGAAGCATAAGTCCTGGAGGCTCTACTCCCTGGTTCCTACTCAGCTAGCTTTCTTATGCAACCTAGGACCTTAGGCATGGTACCACCCACAGGTCCCGCTACATCAATTAACAAGACAACCTCCACCACCACCCAACCCCCCCACAAACTGCCCGAAGACCAATCTGATCTAGGCTGTCCCTCAAGTGAGGCTCCCTTCTCAGGTGACTCTTGAGCTGTGTCAGGGTGGCAGTTCAAGCTAACTGGAAGGGGGACACAAGTCCAGATCTAGGCTACTCCAGATCCAGGATTTGCTGTGGAGAGGAAAGGTCTCTCTTCCTGAGCCTCAGGCTGTGAGACAAGAATGAACAGCCCCAGTTTGGAGCTGTGGCAGGGAGGCATGCCTGACAGCAGTCTATGGGTTATGCATCCTCTCTGCAGAGTGTCCAACAGTCAGTGGCACTGTGCTGATGTGAGCTGAGTGCCCATGTGCACTTGGGAAAGAGGAAACTGTGAAAACCGATGATTTGGAAGGGCAAGGACTTGAAGGGGGGGTTCTCCTTTGTCCAGGCAGGACCCCCACACACTTAACAGGGTTTCCATCTCCAACGACTATAGGGCTCACCTGAACTACCAATAGTGGGAACCAAACCACAGAGGCAGAGGTCAGGGCCTTCCTTACTCCTACTCACATGCAAATCAGGAGGGAAGGATGCCAGGCTTAGCTTCGAGATACAACAGGGAGGGCCCAGGACTACTGGTGAAATTATTAAGGCCACTCCATGTAGTTAAAAGGAGATTTATTTAATGGCGTACCTTACAAATTAAGGGATAGGTAGGTCGTGGGGTCTGGGGAAGGTGTATCGCAGTCCAGCGGTGTTCTCTGGAGCTCTGCTTGGCCCACCTCCACCGTCCAGGATCCCGGAACCGGAACTGAGAGAGAGCACTGGCCCATCCAGATCTCGGGTCTCCAGGCGCCTCCCTTGGCCCCGCCTTGTAGGCGTGACAGTTGCCGAAGTCTCAATGGGGGTTGGAACTTCCAGATCAAAGCTGGAATGGCTACCCACTACACAGGACTGTCGCCTGCCACAAGTGGTTTCATTAGGCTGAGCTGAGGAAAGTGGGAATGAGTGTGACTCTGTGTGCACGTGCTGTATGTGTACACATTGCGCATGCATTGTACATGTGCATGTGTATGTACACGAGTACATATATTGTGTATGTGAATGTGCGTCCACGCCCGTGCCAGCCTGGAGTCCTTAGTATGATCCCCTGAGGTTAATCTCACCCTATCCCTAGGACCGGGTAGCCAGGTGTGGCTCATGTGGATGTGGTCTTCCCTCCTCCCAGGAACAGCTGGCCGATCTCAAGGAAGACCTGGACAGGGACGACTGTAAGCAGGAGGCCGAGGTGGTCATCTACGAGACCAACTGCCACTGGGCAGACTGCACGAAGGAGTACGACACACAGGAGCAGCTGGTGCATGTAAGTCTCCGACCCCAGCTCCCGCCTAGGGGTGCTGAGCCCCAACCACAAGGGACCTAGAGCCTTCCAAGGCCTGTGCTGTAGAGAAGGGGCTGAAGGGGGAGCCCCATCCTTTGCGAGTGGGAGGTATGGTGACCAGATGCCTTGGAGCCTCCTCACCCCACCCCAGACACATACATGGAAGTCCAGGAACATACAGAGTGTGAGAACTGGGGAACTAATAATGAAGAGGAGCCTTCCCCAACTCGGAGAGGGGGCAGCAAGACTGCCTGCTCCTAGCTGCAGTCCACACACCGGGAAAGTTCCTTTTAGAACTGGAATCTGTATTTTCAATCTCTTTGAAGTAAATGATGGGAGAGGCAATAATCAGAGCGGTGTGCTGCATGCTCTTAAGTTAGAGGAATGAGCAGTGCTTGGGCTGGAACTGGGCTCAAGCAAAAGGACAGAGGTGAACAACATGCTCTGTGGCTGGGGAGACAGCTCGGTCAGCAGGGTGCTTGGAAGGCCTGGTTTTAGTTCCCAAGAACCCTTTTAAAAAAGGACTGGGTGTGGTATCGGATGCTTTTAATCCTAGCAGTGAGGAGGCCAAGAGAGATGCATGCCTGTGGATCTCAGGCCAACCAACTAGCCTGCCTGGTGAGTTCCAGACCACTGAGAGTGTCTTGCCTCAAAAACCAAGCGGGAAATACCAGCAGACAGAACCCCTCAGCTAGATCCTATCTTATCCAGGAAGGGCTGCTCCAGGGCTATCTCTGTGGCCCTAGGGGATCCTATCTACCTGGCCCTGGAAAGATATGTCGGCTCTGCAAAGAGGATCTGCTTTTGCCTGGCACTGCCTCTCTGCTCTCTGGGAAGACGGATGGCAAGCCAGAGGCCCCGTCCATTATTAACAATTTGTCGCTAAGTAAACCAATAAGAAAAAAATGAAAGGCGTAGTCAGGAAGCATTTTTCTCATTTGAAAGGCTTTATGAATGGAAACGGGAGGCTGATAGGAGAAGGTTCTTCTGGAAGTTCAAAGGGCTGCTATTTTACTTGCTCCCAAGGTGGTGTTATCTATGCTGCACAGGGCATCAGGCCAGCGGCTTTTCATCTTCTAGGACAAGGTGCTGCCAGAGCCTGCCACTCGGTTCTGGACAGCTGTGTAGACTATAAATGTCTTTGTCTGGAAGAGGCTACAGCACATGAGTTTACGTTTCCGCCCAGTGCCTTGTAAAATGCAAAGTCCGGCAGTGGCTGTGCTGTGTCCTTGGCTGACCCTCCTCACTCACTAGGCTGTTTAGCCCCAGGGTCAGCCTGGCACCACCCCTTGAGCCCACAGCCAAGGGTCAGGAGCTAGCTGTAGCCTCCCTCAGAGGCAGAGCGGAGCAAACTCCATTCCCAGTGGGAGGACCTCTCCTTTGCACATCTCTGAAGCAGGAATATCAGTAGGTCGGCCTCACTGCACACTTAGCCAGCACCTGGCGCTTACACCTCAGGAACATCACCATAAACACCACGTCCCCATAGGCCAGGCCCTGAGCCTTGCCTGGGGTACACGGGCTGCCTTTAATCATCAGTAAACTGAGGGAAGGAGCCAGAGAGATGGCACAGTCAGACAAATGCTTGCCATGCAAACCTCAAGACCTGAGTTCTGACCCCCAGCACCCACATAAAAGGCCAAGTGTGGTGGTGCTTCATCTGTAGTCCCAGCACTGGGGAGATGGAGACACAAGGACCCCTGAAGCTCACTGGCCAGCTGGCCTTGCTGAACTAGTAACGCCAGGTTCAGTGAGAGACCCTGTCTCAAAAAATGCAGGGGCGAGCGGTGGGAAGACAGGCTGTGCTGGCCGCTGGCCTCCATGCACACCTGCATTCATAAGAGCACACACCTACCAACACAAAGGAAGTATTTGGGGTGGGGGTTGGGTGCAGGGTCTCACACGTGCTAGACAAGCATTCTACCATTGAGCTCCGTCCCCAGGACTAGCCCTTGATAGCAAATTGGAAAATGCAGATGGAACAAGGAGGTGCACTAGCTGGGAATTATCCCAGGTGTCACGTGCTCTTATGGGTCATGTGGGCGGGTCAGTGACCTCTATACACTGGATAGATGGGCATGAGAAGGGTCTCAAATGCTGAGTGGGGGTGGGAGACACAGCTCCAGGCTGCTGACGGCAGCCACCAGAGGAGTTCGTTTTAGAAACATCGGCTCAGATTAAACTGAGATTCATGACTTCACCACAACAAAGAATGTCAGGATCAGTCAGTAAAAAGCAGAGATGGAGTGTGTTTGTTTTTAAATGAATTTATTTATATAGTCTGTTTGTGTATGTGCCACAGCATGCTTGTGGAGGTCCGGGGACAACTTGTGGGAGTCAGTTTTCTCCCTCTGCCACGTGGATTCTGGGGATCAAACTCAGGTTTGTTAGGCTTGGAAGCACCGCCGAGACCCACGGAACTTTCTCACTAGTCTCCGAGTTGCAGTTTGTTAAGATATTTTAACATAAATGTAAGCACAGAGGTTAACAAAAAGAGAGGTTCTTAGGGGAAGGATGAAGACACACCCACTGTGGGTGTGGGCTTCTCTAGAGAGAGTCACACGTCAGTGTCTTTACAATTTAGGTGACTTTCTCAAAGGATTGCTTTTTTAGTTCCTTCTCTGTTGCTGTGATGAAATACCCAGACAAGGCAACTTTAAGGAAAAGGCTCGTTTCCGCCCGCAGTCCAGGGTGCCATCCACGCTATCAGGGAAGTCTAGGTGGTCACGATGCATTCACCATAAGGAAACAGAGGAAGGGATGCATGCTGCTGCTCCTGCTCCATGCACACCCTTGCACCCTTTTTACAGTCCAGCATCCCAGTCAAGGTACAGCCTAACCAGTGGGTGGGTCTTCCTGCCTCAGTACAGTCACATGATGTCCCATTAGCCTGCCCTGGGCCATTCTACCAAGTTGTCAATTAGCACTGTCATAGTGGCTATATAGCCTGAGTGATCTCATAGGTGGATCCTGATGTTCACTGATAGACTTCCAGCTGACAGAGAACCTTCCTGGTTCACAGGGCTGCGCTGGAAGCTGATATATTTTCATTGCAGACTCACTGTGAGGTTTCCATAAAATACCTAGAAGAATAAAGCCATATTCAAGGCCATCTATGCTCAAGGCTAAGCTCAGTTTGTCACTGTTTTAACATTTTCATTTGAAAATATTATCTCCATGTCATCAGCCTTCACAGCAAATGCTAATTATGCTGGAATTTCCAGTTATCAGTGAGAGGCTTCCTCCAGACTCCCTAGTGAGAACTTCCGCTCCTGCCTGTTCCTTTTATCTCCTAGTAGTCTTCTGTGCCTTGGGGAAGTCAGGGGAGTGCAAGGAGTGTTACTTACCTTGGAGTTGCAGTAACTGCCTACCTGACAGAGCCAGCTCACGCAAGGGAGGATCTACTTTGGCCCACAGTTTCTGAGAGTTTGTCCGTGGTCACTTGGCTCCGTGCCCTTGGTGGAGCAGAGCTGTTGGCCTCGTGGCAGATAGGAAACAGATTAAAGGTAGAGTTGAGGTTCAGGGCAGACCCCAAGGAGATGCCCCCCCACACACACCAACAACTTCCTTCAGCAAGGTCCTATCTATGCAAGGATCTTCTCTGGAAAATCCTGTGGGGGTTGGGTGGGAGGGCCTCTCAGGTCTCCAAGGTGACAGTTAAGAGGGGCGAGTGATTGAAGGCTGAGGAAGTGACTCAGTGGGTAAACTGCTTGCCACACAAGCATGAGGATGTGAGTTTGAACCCTCAGAACCCACATAAAAGTGAGGCACGGGAGCAGGAGTCTGTAATCCCAGGGATGCCTGGAGTGATGATGAGAGGCAGAGACAGGAGAATCCTTGGGAGCTCCTGGGCCAGCCTTGGCATATGAGGCAGCAAAGAGAGAACAAGGTGGAAGGCGGTGAGGACGGGCACCCCAGGTTTTCCTCAGCCCCCCCACCACACATGCACTGGGCACTCACATATGAGTGAATTCACACTCATGCCCACACGCGCACATGTGTGAACGCGCACGTGCATGCACGCCCACACTGAGGTGAGTGGTCTGTATGTCCTAGGTGGAGGCTTTGGGACGGGGGTGACAGTCCCACTGAGGGAGGAGGGCCTCTGCACCCTGGGTGGGCCCAGCTGAGTAGAGAGTGAGCCATGCTCTCAGAGGGGCCGGCCCAGGGAGGTGACCCTTGAACTCACCACCAGACCTTGTCTCACCTCCCAACAGCATATCAACAACGAGCACATCCACGGGGAGAAGAAGGAGTTCGTGTGCCGCTGGCAGGCCTGCACGAGGGAGCAGAAGCCCTTCAAGGCGCAGTACATGCTGGTTGTCCACATGCGCAGGCACACGGGGGAGAAGCCGCACAAGTGCACGGTGAGCCTCCTCCCTCTGCGGGTGACTCCGACTACAGGCCCTGACCCCCGCCCCCTCCAGCGCCTCCTTACGGCTTCGGCTAGTGTTTCCCATTGACAAGTGCTATCAAACTGGCTCTTGCACATTGAAAACATTTTAATTGCCTTGATTTATGCGGCAGGACAGGGGAAAGAGGGTGAGCCATGCAGAGAAGTCAGGGAACAGCTTGCCAGAATCTGTTTTCTCCTTCCGCCATGTGGGTCCCAGGGATGATGTTCCGGACATCAGGGTTGGCAGCAAGTGCCGTTATCCATGGAGCCGTCTCCCTGGTCCCTAGCTGTACACCTTTGGGAAACAGAACTTGTCGTTTTGTTGCTTGGTTACAAGAATTCTTTTATAACTAGATTTTAGATCATTACATACAGTTTGCAAATATTTTCCCAATTCTGTGTGTTGTCTTCATTCTTGGGATAAAATCCTTTGAAGCACAAAAGCTTAATTTAGTGAAATCCAATTTTTAGCTGTCGTATCTTAGAAATGGCTACCTAGCTCGTGGTCACAATGATTTAACCAGTCTCCTGCCTTGTTTTCTTCTAAGAGTTTGGCGGGGGGGGGGGGGGGGGGGGGGGGGAGATAAAAATAGCTCAGCTGACAGAGTACCTGCCTAGCACACATGAGGCCCTGGCTTCCACTCCCAAGACCACATACACTGCATGTGATTGTGTGTGCTTTTCACCCCAACACTTAGGAGGTGGAGGCAGGAAGATCAGAAGGTCAAGGCCATCCTTAGCTACATAGTGAGTTTGGGGCCAGCCTGGGCTATGTGAGAACATGTCTCAAAAGCAAGATAAATCAGGCACTGGAGAGATGGCTCAGCACTTCAGAGCACTCACAGCTCTTCCAGAGGACCCAGGTTCAATTTCCAGCACCCACACGGTGGCTCACTACCCCCTGTAACTCCAGGTCCAGAGGATCCATCACCTTCATTTGGTGCTTTGGACACCAGGCACACATGTAGTGGGTGTGCAGATACATGTACAGACAAAACACTCCTACACATAAAATAAAAATCTTTCAGAACAAAACAGAATACAGTTAATAAGAGCTGGGCTACGGAGAAATCAGAACCTTCACATAATGTTGACAGGAGAAGCAAACAGTGAAGAACTGGACAGCTTATAAATATGTGCTTTAATTTATGTAGACGTCACACATACATACGTGCATGTGTGCTCATGTATTTCACGGTAAAGCTCTTGTATCCGGTCTTTGATATGTCTGAGTTGCAGTCTTACACTTCCGGCCCACTCAGTATTTTCCAGAGGAGAGAGTAACCATCATTACTACCATCATGCATTCTTTGGGGTGCGGAGTGGGAATGGGCGCCGCAGGAGAGGGCAGGGAAGCGGGTGGAGGAGAGCCCCGGGGTGCAGCGGCCTCAGCTGCATATGGAGTGTCCTTTCTGACCTGTCCGCCTCCTTCCAGTTCGAGGGCTGCTCCAAGGCCTACTCTCGCCTGGAGAACCTGAAGACACACCTGCGGTCCCACACGGGGGAGAAGCCATACGTGTGTGAACACGAGGGCTGCAACAAGGCCTTCTCCAACGCCTCGGACCGTGCCAAACACCAGAACCGCACTCACTCCAATGAGGTACTCATGACGGGGACGTGCCTGACGTGTGGAAATGCTTTGCCCTTGACTAGTGGACAGCATGCTCGAGTTTTGTTTCTGTTGCTGTGGTAAAATACCCTGACAAAAAGCAACGTAGGGAGAGAGGGACTTCAGTTCAACTTACAATTCCGGGTTACAGTCTGCTGTGGGGAAGTCAAGTCAGGATCTTCAGCCGTCATACAACATCCACAGTCCAGAGCAAAATGAATGTATGCATGCTTACTTACTTGACTGTGCGGACTCAAACCTCCTGCCTAGGGCATAGTCTGCCCCCAGTGGGCTGGGTCTTCCATATCAATCAGCTTAAAGAAGACAGTACCTCACAGGCATGCCCATAGGCCAATCCAAAACAGACAGTGAACAGTACCTCACAGGCATGCCCATAGGCCAATCCAAAACAGACAGTGACCCACTGAGACTCTCTTCCCACATGGCTCTGAATAGATAAAGCTAACCAGCACAAACCATATGCCAGGTGGCCCTCCCCCACCAGCCATTCTGCTTACACAAGTCCTGCATATCGACAGGTCTCCCCTACACCATGGCCCCTCCCCCCAAATAGCAGACACTCCATAAAGTTCTGTGGCACACTGACACTCTGCACCTCAGTTAATAAACACAGATGCCACCATGGGACCCGCAGAAACTGAAATCAAAACAGAATGGCCTGAAAACTGGATAGTGGTGCATGTTTATAATCCCAGTGCTGGGAAGGAGATCTCTGGGGTTTGCTGGCCAGCCAATCTAGTGTGGCGTGATCCAGGACAATGAGAGACCCTTCTCAAAAAATCAAGGTTTATGGTGCCTGAGGAAAACCCACACACAGAGATTCCTGGTTTCCAAGTCCTGAGATACACTCTTCTCTGGCCACTGAAGGGCTTCTGCTGCCTGGGCTGCAGATGAGGAACCTGACACTCAGAGAGGGGATACAAGCTCTCTGAAGCTGTGAAACTGTCCTGGGCCATTGCTTTACCCACAGTAATTGTCTGCCCACAGAACAGCTGCCCTGATGCCATCAGCCCTTTGCACATGCTTCAGCTCCTGCTCTAGAGGGCCTGCCTCAGCTGCACCAGGCCATCAACTGCCTGCCCAGAGCAAGGAGAGCCCCTGGGCAGGCCCGAGAGAGCCAAGGAAGGGACTTGACAGGAACCCCTTGTTCCAGCTAACCTATACAATCTCTGTGGTTCAGGCAGCCCAGAGAGTGAGCTTGTGTGTGTGCATGCGTGTGTGTGCATGCGTGTGTGTGCATGTGTGTAAATAATTTGATATTAATAAATGTTTTGCCTCTGTGTATATGCATCATGTGTGTGCCCAGCCAGAAAAGTGGGTCAGATCCCCTGGAACTGAGGTTACAGATCATTGCAAGCCACCATGTAGGTACTAGGAATTGAGCCCAGGTAGTCTGCCAGAGCAACAAGTACTCTAAACCACTGAGCCATCTCCCCATCCCTGGGGAAAAGAGTATTACTAACAGCTTAAATGCAGCATGGGCAGAAAAGAGACCTTTCTTCAGTGCACATTAGAAATGAGAGGCATTCGCCAAGGCCTCTGGACCCCTTGGGATCTCTCCAGATTGTAGCTGGCCTTGGGGAGGAATATGGATGTGTATGTATACACCTATGTATATGGATGGTGTGGAGATGTGTATTTATATGCACATGTATAGGTATGGGAGTAAAGTGGGTTACATATTTATATCTGTATGGATTGGAAGATTAGCATATGTAGTGTATGTGTATGCAAATATATATGCATATATGTGTAAGGGTGGTACATATATATCTGTATGTAGATGTAAGATGTTCATGTGTATAAGTTCCTTATGCACATGTAGCTATAGGAGCATGTATACATGTATGGAGGTAGTTACGTGTGTGTTGTGCATTTGTATGTGTGTGGTGGGTGCATATATGGAGTGTATGTGGAGCCAAGTGTGGATTTGTAAGTGTATCCATGTTTGTGTAGATATGAGTGAGTGTAGGCAGAGTTTTTCGTCGGGACTGTAATCAGCTCTGTTCCTCCAGCCACTTCCTAAATAACTATTCAGAGACTTATTGTCAATTATAAATGCTTGGTTGCTAGCTTAGGCTTGTTTCTAGCTAACTCTTACATTTTAAATTAACCCACATTTCTTACCTTCTCTCAACATGGTACATTCATCTTGCTTCTCTCTGCATCTGTTCAAGACTCCTCTGACTCCACCCTTCTTCTTCCCAGCATTCTCTCTGCCCTGAAAAATCTCCTGCCTAGACATCAGCCAATCAGTGTTTTATTAACAAGAGCCATATTTATTTACAGTGTACAAAGATCGTTCCACAGCAAGTAAGGGTGGTTTATATATGTATATGTATGCTATATATGTGTGTGAAGATACGTACAGGGTTAGGTTTATGTCTGTGATGGTTTGTGTCTGTGGATTTGAGTGGGACCAAGCCTAGGACAGAGACAAGATGTTCAGATGCTCAAGTGTGCTCTCTATGGCCAGGTGATTGGAAGTTTCCTTGGTCCTATCTGCTTTTGACAGAGACATGAAGGGCTAATGAGCTTGAAGTCACAGTCCCGATTCCTGGAGGAGCATGTGGGTCTTTCTCACACTCTTTCTGATCCATGTCACTAGCTTCTTGAGCCAAGAGTTCTTTTGAGAGTGTGCCTTCTTTGCATGTGTGGGTAGTACGCTAGGTAGTTCAGGAGGCCAGGCTCCTGTGGACTTGACCTGGTGTGCTCATCCCACAGGATGTGAGCATGTTGAAGCGCTTACCCCCTGTGCCAGCCGGGGCTGCCAGGGAACATGGGATGGCTTTACCACAGGTAAATTTAGAGTTTTCCTTGGGTCCCCATCCATAACCCAGACCTGGCCCTCTTCCTAGAAACCCTACATCTGCAAGATCCCAGGCTGCACCAAGAGGTACACAGACCCCAGCTCTCTCCGCAAGCATGTGAAGACGGTCCATGGGCCAGATGCCCATGTCACCAAGAAGCAACGCAATGATGTGCACCTCCGTGCTCCGCTGCTCAAGGAGAATGGGGACAATGAGGCCAGCGCTGAGCCAGGTGGCCGGGGATCTGAGGACGGTGTGGAGGCCAGCAGCACCAGCCACACTGTGGAGGACTGCCTACACATCAAAGCCATCAAGACAGAGAGCTCCGGGGTAAGACAGAGCTGGGTGCCCAGCTGGCAGGGGGCCACTCTCCAGCTCTGCACAAGGCCCAGAAGCCCAGCCCCCTCTGGTACCCCCTTCTGGGAATGAAACGATGCCCCATCTTGCTCCAGCTCCACTTTCCTCCTTTATCACCTTGTACCCCTCATGAAACCTGTCTCCTTTCAGTCGCCTTCTCTGACCCAGCTCCTGCTGGGCAACTGAGGCTGGGGCGGGGGATGCCCTTCCTCCATGCTGCTCTGTGCAGGATGTGTTTGCCTCTTCATCCAGTGCCTGGGTACCACTGCGGGTTCCCGCCCCTCTGCCCCTGTCTGTGTCGTCCCCCTTAGCCTCTGCTCCTTCCGTTCTAACCACCTGTTCCTTGTCTCCGCCTCTTTTTCCCAACTGTACCTCCCCTAAGGATAGACGCTGCTGAGGTGAGCGGAGGAATTGGGGGGAAGGGCGGGAGTGCCCAGGGGGAGAGGGTGGACTGGGCTCCTGTTTCAGTGCCCTTGGCTGGGCAGAGATTGAACTGGCCTTTGGGGTGGCACGTGACAGATGGCACCATGGGAATAGGTAGAGATGGGCAGCAAGAATGAGTCTGGCAGGTGTGAGGAGCAAGGAATCCATAGCAAGGGAGGGCAGGGGTGAGGCCTGGGGAGCAAGGGAGGGCAGAAATGAGGCCTGGAGATCAAGGGAGGGCAAGGGTGAGGTCTGGGGAGCAAGGGACGGCAGGGATGTGGTGTGGAGGGAGATCAGGGGAGAGCAGGGGTGAGTCTAGGCTAGATGGAGCAAAGAATTGTGGAGGGCACCACGGTCAAGACCTACAGAGTCCTGCTTGTTGGGAGCATCTCCCCTAACCTGGGCATGCAGTATTGTTGCATCTTCCCAAGGAAGAGGCAGGGACAGGGAAAGCATTTGACCCAGAAATGAGCTGCTGGGTTGAGGGTTTGCTTCCGGAACCAATCTCAGGCCACGCTGGACGCTGTAGAGTGCGGTGGCGTCGATTTACTTGCCTGCCCCAGCCCAGCCCAGAGGGAGAGCCAAGTATTCTGGTTTCGTTTCTGTCGCTGTGGCGAATACTCTGGCAAAAAGCCAGGGAGGGCAAATGTGAGGAAAGGACTGAGCTGCAATTCCAGATCCCTACCCATCACTTTCGGGAAATCAAGGCAGGATCTCAAGCAGCTGAGCACATCACATCCACGGTCAACAGCAAAGGGAATATTACGCATCGCTGTCCGCTGCTTCCCGCAGCTGACTGTCTTCCCTCAGACAGTTCAGGACCCACTCAATTAACAATTAAGACAGTCCCCCACAGACATGCACCCAGACCAACCTGATCTAGATAATTCCTCATTAAGAATCTCTTCCCAGGTGACTCTAGACGGTGTCAAGTTGATACATAAAACTAACCGGCATAGTCAGTTTGGCGTGGCCGTGCAGGCAATGGCTACACCCCTTCGCTCCCTGCTCCTCCCATTCCTTCCGTTCTTTAGCACCTACCCCTGGCCTGTCGAGAGCACCCTGTGCAGTAGAAGGCGGCTGGCCAGCACGTCCCCAGACTTCCGCTATCCGTCCCTTCATTGTGGGCACATCAGCAGTCCTGCGTTGAATACCTTCTTTCTTGGTGAACTTGGTCACCTTCTTCCTACAGTAGGACAAGTCCTTGCACGTGTCGAAGGCGGTTTGGGTCGTCACAGTTGGGAAAGAAGGCCAAGGGTAGACTTAACCATCTCATGCAGGTAGACAAGGGATGGGTCGCAAGTGCCTCTTCAGAGTAGTTCCCTGCTTCCTCGTGTCCCCGCCCAAGCAAGCCCAGCATGGTATGAATGTGGGAGGGTCACAGGACCCGGTGACTTCTCACACCCACCTTCCGCCTTGTCCTTACAGCTGTGTCAATCCAGCCCCGGGGCCCAGTCATCCTGCAGCAGCGAGCCCTCTCCCCTGGGCAGTGCCCCCAACAATGACAGTGGCGTGGAGATGCCGGGGACAGGGCCCGGGAGTCTGGGAGACCTGACAGCACTGGATGACCCATCTCCAGGAGCTGACACCTCAGCCTTGGCTGCCCCCTCCACTGGCGGCCTGCAGCTGCGCAAACACACGACCACCGTGCATCGCTTTGAGCAGTTGAAGAGAGAAAAACTCAAGTCACTCAAGGATTCCTGCTCGTGGGCCGGCCCAGCTCCGCACACCCGCAACACCAAGCTGCCTCCCCTCCCAGCAAATGGTGAGTGAGTGAATCTTCCGGGCTTAATAGCACAGGTGGGAGAGAGCCTGGGGCTGTTTTCTCCAGGCACCTTGCAGTCTGACTGGCTGCCCACAATGGGACAGATCTGATGGTTTCAGGTTCTCAGTGTCTTGTTTAAAAAAAAAAAAAACTGAAGCCACAAAAATAGCAAAAAAGACACACATTTTATTCAGAACTGAAGCATGAGTACAGGCCACTATACACAGCTCAAGAGTTCCTGGATATTATTGCTCAGGACTTCCTCTAGGAAGTCTAGGAAGAGGAGGAGCTGGTTGCTAGGGGAGGGTATGGATGGTCTTTGGGGGTTTGATTAGCAGTCTTAGGTTATGTAAGTCTTAGTTCATTGGGCACATCCTGATTTTAACCATATGCACACCCAATTATATGTAGGTATAACATGGTAAGTGGGGGAGGGCGGTTCCCCTAATAGTTCACTCAAAGGATATAGTTTACCTTACTGAGCATGGCACCCCAAACAAGTTCAGGCTGGATCAGCCTGGTTCCTTGGTTGTAGGTTGTATTTCAGAATATGTTTGGCCACTAAAGGCTCCTAAGGGTCGGTAGGGAGCTAGAGGTCAAAGTGCCCAGGTTCTTTTGTTTGGAGAGGGATGTGCGTGTAGCCCAGTGCAGGTGCAAGCTCCTAGTGTGTAAGCGCTCTGCTGGTAAAGGAGTGTGTGCAGTGTCAACCACGTGAAGCCCGATGCCTAAGCTCTCTCTGCACTTGGCTGCTGCAGCCCGACCTTGTGTGGCATGCAAAGGAAACAGGCTCAGGGAGGTGAAGGGGCCCCACCCAAACCCCAGGCTGCAGGAAAACTTAGCTCAGGCCCGTGAGCTCCGACGTGCATGCTGTTCTCCATGTAGCATGCCACTATAACCCTCTGAACACAGGCAGACACTGCTACAGACCCCCTCCCGCCCCCCATCCAGCTGCTCAGCATTTAGAATGTCACGCCAAAGGCTCAAGGAAGGAGAGCGGTATGACTGTCATCCCAAAGGAGCCAGGGTCAAATCACATACAGAGCAAGCCACAAAGCACCAAAGACAGAGAGCTGGGGTACTGATGCACCAAGGAGGCACCTTCCGCAGGGGAAGAGCAGGGGGGCTTCATGGAGGAGGTGGCCTGTGCTCCGCAGGCTCTTTATCTCCAAGAGTGCCACTGGGCACATAGACCCCTACGATGGTGCACATTGGCACACCACCAGCCCCACTGTTGGAAGGACTGCTGGCAGAAGGCCATGACCTCTGCATGTCTGGGATCTCTGGGGTTGCAGACAGCTGCCTCCACACAGGTCACCACTCCCATCTCATCACTGATCACAGAGGACGTGATCACGTGTCTGCCCGTCTCAGCCCTGAAGGGCTGTGAGAAGCCTCGACTGGCCTCCGCCCACCCTAAGATCAGCCTCGACAACATAGGGAGACCCTGCCTCCGAATATAAATGAATAAAACCATCAAGGGCTGGAGATGCAGCTCGGTTGGGAGAGTGCTTGCCTACTGTGCACACGACCCTGAGTTCAGTCCTCAGCACCAAATCCACGCCGCCGTGTGGTGGCACACACCTAGAATTCCAGCGCCCGGTGGGCAGAGGCAGCAGGATCAGAAGCTCAAGGTCATCTTTGGTTACAGGCCAACCTGGGATACCTAAGACCTTTGTCAGGCGGGACGGGGCGGGGGGACCCAAAACCTCCATGTCGGGACACAGGAACTATGGGCCTGGGCCCCCCTGAACCCTGTTGTCAGTAATCCTACGTGCAGGTGCATTTTATATACAGCTAGAGAAACTGGGAAGGTTTCTCTGTGTAGCCCTGCTGTCCTATATAACTCACTCTGTAGACCAGGCTGGCATCGAACTCGGAGATCTGCCTGCCTCTGCCTCCCAAGTGCAGGGATTCAGCACCAGCTTGCCAAATCTCACCCGGCTTCCTCTCTCCCTTCTTACATCCAGAAGTCTTCTGCTATTGCCTGCCGTGTGCCTGGCCTTGTGCTAGGGCTCCAGGCTCAGTCTGGTCAAGGGGGATGTGTAGATGTATCCAACCTTAGGGATGGGTAGAGGAATGGGGAACTAGGGATAGGGTGCAGGTGGTCTTTTGGTTTGGGGAAACAGCCGCAGGGCCCTGCCACCATCAGGGAGTAAGGGTCCCACGGAGCACAGCCCTCCTGTGACCCCTCTGTTCTTCCCTAGGTTCTGTTCTGGAAAGCTTCAGCGGCACTGGGGGCGGTGGGCCAGCGGGGCTGCTGCCCAGCCAGCGGCTGCCAGAGCTGACCGAGGTCACGATGCTGAGCCAGCTGCAGGAAAGAAGAGACAGCTCCACCAGCACCGTGAGCTCGGCCTACACCGTGAGCCGCCGCTCCTCTGGCATCTCCCCGTACTTCTCCAGCCGGCGCTCCAGTGAGGCATCACCTCTGGGGGCCGGCCGCCCGCACAATGCCAGCTCAGCAGACTCCTATGACCCCATCTCCACAGATGCCTCCCGGCGCTCCAGTGAGGCCAGCCAGTGCAGCGGTGGCGGCCCAGGGCTGCTCAACCTCACGCCTGCGCAGCAGTACAGCCTGCGTGCCAAGTACGCGGCGGCCACGGGCGGACCGCCACCCACCCCACTGCCGGGCCTCGAGCGCGTAAGCCTTCGCACCCGCCTGGCGCTACTGGATGCTCCCGAACGTGCACTGCCCGGCGCCTGCCCACATCCACTGGGGCCACGACGTGGCAGCGATGGTCCTGCCTACAGCCACGGCCACGGCCACGGCCATGGCTATGTAGGTGCGGCTCCAGCCTTCCCGCACGAGGGGCCAGGCGGCAACATGCGCAGGGCCAGCGATCCGGTGCGGCGACCTGACCCCCTCATTCTGCCTCGAGTACAGCGTTTCCACAGTACCCACAACATGAATCCGGGTTCACTGCCACCCTGCACTGATCGGCGAGGCCCGCATCTACAGAGCCACCCTAGTGTGGATAACAGCCTGACCCGCAGCACCTACTCCCCGAGACCCCCTAGCATCAGTGAGAACGTGATGATGGAGGCCATGGCTGCTGGAGTAGATGGCACAGGGCTCGAATCTGACCTGGGGCTGGTGGAAGATGAGCTGGTGCTGCCAGATGATGTGGTACAGTACATCAAGGCCCATACCAGTGGTACCTTGGATGACAGCACCCGGCAGGGGTATCCTACAGAAAGCACTGGTTTCCCTGAGAACTCTAAACTGCCCAGTCCTGGGCTGCAAGGCCACCGTAGGCTCGCAGCTGCCGACTCCAATGTGGGCCCTTCTGCTCCTGGACTGGGGGGCTGCCAGGTGAACTACAGCCCCTCCTCCAACCTCAACAAGAGCAACATGCCTGTGCAGTGGAATGAGGTGAGTTCTGGCACCATGGATGCCCTGCCCAGTCAGGTGAAGCCACCTCCTTTTCCCCACAGCAACCTGGCTGTGGTTCAGCAGAAGCCAGCCTTTGGCCAGTACTCAGGATATAGTCCACAAGCCCTGCAGGCCAGCTCCGGAGGTCTAGACAGCACCCAGCCACACCCACAGCTTCGTGGAGCCCCTTCTGCACTCAGAGGGAGCTACACGCATCAGCCTCGACAGCCGGCCACAGGTGGCCAGTGCCTGAGTGTGACTGCCGCCGTGAGCCCTCAGGCCAACTACAGCCAAGCCCACCCCCAGCTGAGCCCAAACATTGTCAGTGGACCCCTGAACCAGTTCTCTCCCTCCTGCGGCAATATGGCAGCCAAGCCCAGCCACCTGGGACTCCCACCACAAATGGAAGTCGTCCCCAATGCCACCATGATGAGTGGCCATCAACGGGAGCTTGGGATTGCCAATTCATCCCTGGCTGGGGTGTCACAAGCTCAGGCAGTCCTGAGCTATCCCCAGCAGGAAGGCTACCAACAGGGTCCCAACCTTCTACCATCCCATCAGCCTAGTTTCATGGAGTCCCAGCAGAGCACCGGCTTTGGCCTCATGCAGCCTCGGCCTCCCCTTGAGCCCAGCACGGCTAGCCGTCACCGTGGAGTACGTGCCGGGCAACAGCAGTTGTATGCCAGGACCACTGGCCAAACCATGGTCACATCGGCCAACCAAGAGACAGCAGAAGCTATGCCCAAGGGAACAGCTGGGACCATGGTCTCCCTGGCTTCTCAGCCTTCTCAGGACACAGGGCGGTCACAGGACCAGAACACGCTCTACTACTACGGCCAGATCCACATGTATGAACAGAATGAAGGCTGCCCAGCCATGCAGCCCCAGCCACCACAACCACAACCATGCTCAGACAGTGTCCAGCCTCAGCCTCTGCCTTCACCAGGGGTCAACCAGGTGTCCAGCACTGTGGATTCCCAGCTCCTGGAGGCCCCCCAGATTGACTTTGATGCCATCATGGATGACGGCGATCACTCAAGTTTGTTCTCCGGTGCACTGAGCCCCACCCTCCTCCACAATCTCTCCCAGAATTCCTCACGCCTCACCACACCCCGGAACTCCCTGACACTGCCCTCCATCCCCGCGGGCATCAGCAACATGGCTGTGGGGGACATGAGCTCCATGCTCACCAGCCTGGCTGAAGAGAACAAGTTTTTAAATATGATGACCTAAAGGCCCTGGCTCCTGGGGCAGAGCAGACCTGAGCAACCTTAGCTTCTTGGAACGTCAGAGTCTAAGCGCTTCTCTTGGTTGGAAAAAGTGTTAATCAGGCCTGAGAGGGCTTGGGCCACGGCTGGTGCAGACTCGCAAATGTTTTAAGAAAAGATTTAGGGGCACCCTCTTCGCTGTCTGGCCTGTTTTTCGGAACACTCAAAAAGTCTTGTTCAGAAAGAAACTCGTTTACACAATGCTTGCCAGCCTTTGGTGTTTATGGGATTACTCAGTCCTGGCTTCTTGGCCTCTGTCATTCTTCTAATGAGAGAGTACACTGGCCAAGGTTTTCTAAGTACATGCCCAAAGAGGGAAGGGGAACCACGTCTGGGTTTGAATCTGAGAGCATGCTGGATACTCTGCTCTGAGAAGGGTTTGGCTTTCTGCCACCTGCACCGGGTTGCTGCCTCCCCAGGATTCTTCCGTGAAGCTCGCCAAGGTTGCTTGCCAGAGGAGAAAGGTGCATCCCCCCCGGGATACTATGGACTCTCCTCAATTACTGCTAGCATCTCCATTCCCTTAGGCACAATAGGACCTGCAGATTTCCGGAGTGGAAAAGAACTAATAAAACATGTATCACGAGGAAATAAACTATGCTACCTGGGGCAAGCCCAGAAACTACCCAGGGGCCTCTCCTGATCTGTTTACAGTGTTCTGAAGTATACAGTGGAGCCCCTCCTGGGAAGAACGCTTATATCTAAATTCCTCGGGTTGTTGTGGGCTAGGGATGGACCAAGGTGAAAGAGGCCTTCCCTGGAAAAAGCAAGTCGCATGTTTACCCAGTCCTGTTACTCCTGTGCACTACCACCCTCCCGTGGAAAATTCTAGGGCTCCTCCACACCGTGCTGGGTGGCCAGCTGTCTTCACCTAACCACCGCGTGCAGGCTCAGTACTTTCTGATCCCCTGACCTCTGCCCTCCTCTCCGGGTTATTCGGCATGGACCGATGACATGCATGGTGTTTGTGGGAGGGTGGGAGGGTGAGGGACTGATTCTTGGACTTCGAGGAACTATGAGATGAATTTTCTTGTTCAGTATGGCCTGGCCCCAAATAAGAAAGGGCACGTGGAAACTGACCCCAAAACGAATCAGTCCAGAGCACGCTGCAGGGTGCACCCACACCTCTTCCCCACCACACACATGCGCACACCCCATCTGAAGCTTCTCCCTCTGAATTTCATAGAAACTTTGCCAAACCAAACCTCGCCACTCCGAGCTTCCTTCTGGCCATGACTCTGGCTTCAGTGAGGAACTTCTTAGAGCCTGGACCTTCTGGGTCCGAGGACAGCAAACTTCTCTGTTTACAATCCAGAGACAAGACCAGCCCCCAATGGCAGCTCTGGGCCACGCCCGTGGGTCTGTGGCTCCAGTGGTGTGGCCCACTGCCCGACGTAGACCCCAACTTCTCAGTCTCCGTCTGTATCTCTGCTGTGTATAGCCATCACCGTCCCTGAATACACTGTGGGTGAATCGTCCAGCCAAATTTATATTGCCAAACATTTTTAGCTTTTTCTACATGCTATAAATTGAGATGACATGCTCAACTTGTAAATAAGTCTTTTTTGTACATTAAAAATAATTTTTTCATAATTTATCTTGTCGATCTGCTTTTCCCTTGACAGTAGTTAATGAGAATCTAGGCAGTAAATTTGGTGCATTTGAACAAAAATTAGGCTGTATTTTTTCACAACAGCGTCAAAACTGACTAGCCCACCTTAACCCAGACAAGCTTAATTCAGGATCATTTACTGGCTGTTGGCTTCTTCTCACTCTGGGGTGGGGGCAGGCAGGGTTTGACAGGTGGCTGGGACTCGGGTACTAGTGAGCTTTCTCAGAACATCTGAGCCAGTTGGCTGAGGTCCCAGTACGCTGGGTCTCGTGTCCCAGGCACAGTCTGGTTCCTGGGTAGCACACATTTGAGTTGGGGGCGTTTTGGTGCCTTCCTTATGCTGGGATTGAATACTAGACAGAAGCAACTTAAGGGGAGAAGGGCCCAGAGTTCAAGGGTACAGTCAGTCTGTCCTGATGGGGACGTAGGGCAGCAGGGGCATGAAGTGTCTGGTCACCTTCATCCACAGTCAGGTAGCAGAGGAAGATGGGTGCTGAAGATCAGCTCGCTTTCTTTCAGTCCAGGACCCAGCCTGGTGCTGCCCACAGTTAAGGGACCTCAGTTTTCCCAGCCTCGACATCCTTCACTGGCGTGCCCAGAGGCTTGTTTCCTGGTGATTCCAGATCCTGTCAGGTGACGTTGAGATTATCCACCCCACGGAGTGAAGGGTGGGAGGAGAGACAGACTCCCCCAAAGATGGCAAAGGAGATAGTCAGGGCCGACAGGTGAAGCCCAGGACGCATAGCCACCAGCCTCGGGTGAAGGGCCAGTAAAGATGAGCCGTGACTAGGGCTCTGAGCCTAGAGAAGCAGGTAGACAGGGAGAACCTTGGGTCAGTAAACCGATAATCAGCCCTGGGCAACGACTGGGCACTGTTAACTTCAGAAGGCTGGGAATATAGCTTGGTTGGTTCAGATCCCCAGAACCCACATAAAAGCAGACACAGCAGTAGCATGGGTACATGGGGAGATAGGATCCCAAACCAGGAGAGTCCCTGGAAATTCACGGTCCTGCTAGCCGGGCATACAAAGTGTGAAAGCAGTTCAGAGACCCTGTCTCGAGGCAGAGGGTGAGGCCTGGCACCCAGGGCTGTCCTCTGACCTCTACATCCACACTATGGCAATGTGCATGCCTATCCATGGGGGTGGGGGTAGGGTGGGGGGGGATGCAAGTGCACACACAGATTAAAAATGAGGATTTTACAACAAGAAACTCAAGTGGTTAAGAGCATGTGTTACTCGTGGAGAAGACCCTGGTTCAGTTCCCAGCACCCATGTCAGAGGTCTCACAACCACGACAACTCTATCTCTGGGGGGAATCTGACTTCCTCCTGTGACCTCTGGGTACTCTCGTGTGTGAGTGTGTGTGTGTGTGTGTGTGTGTGTGTGTGTGTGTGTGTGTGTGCATGTGGCTCTCTCTCAAACATCACATAGGTTTCCCATATACTGACTCACCCTATTTCAAAAGCCTTACCACATTTCCTTTCGCACCCTCTTTCTCTCTCTCTCTCTCTCTCTCTCTATCTATCTATCTATCTATCTATCTATATATATATATATGTATGTATGATGACTGGTGTTCCCATACCATCCTGATAATAGGCTGTCCCCTGAAGGTCTCTAGGCACCCAATTTTACTAAACCATCTTAAAAACAAAACAAAGCAAACAACCAAACAACAAAAACAAAACCCTGGGCCCCATGTACCCCAGGCTAGCCTCAAACTCACTATCTAGGTGAGGACAGCCTTGAATTTCTGATCCTCCTACCATTCCCCCCGAGTCCTGGGATTACATAGGAAAATCTTCACCAAGCATTTCTCCACACAGAGCGCAGGGCACTATTTTCTTGCCCTTTTCCAGCCATCCGTGGATTTCCTTATTTTTCATACCCAAGCCTAGGCTTCGTGTGTGAGAACAACCACCTCTCACTCATGTCCGTTCTAAATATGTGAACTACCACCTGGTGAGAGCTGCCAAATGAAAGCAGTGACCAAGCTCTCACATGGCTCCCGAGTGAGTAGCAGTGGGGGGTGGCCTTACCTGGGTGGCCGTGGAAGACAGCTCATCTCTGCTCCTGGACTTCCCTCCTAGGGACATCTAATGACACAGACATTATAACAGGATGAGACAGAACTGGAGAGACCTCTTCAGGACTGGGCTAGGAACAGGAAACAAATCACAGAACTGAGCCTGAAAACAATTGCCTGAGAAATATACCTGTAGGGTAAAGGGGCCAGCCAAAGAAATCCACCCTGGCCCTGACCAGAGCAAGTGAAAGAAACCCACCCTGGCCCTGAAACCAGAACCCAGTGAAAGAAACACTTTAGCCCTGAAACCAGAGCCAAAGAAACACACTCTGACCCTGAAACCAGAGCCAAAGAAACACACCCTGACCCTGAAACCAGAGCCAAAGAAACACACCCTGACCCTGAAACCAGAGCCAAAGAAACACACTTTGGCCCTGAAACCAGAGCCAACTTTGCCCCTGGCCAACAAAACCAACCAATCCCAGAGCAGGAAACCTTCCTGGAAAAACTCCGCCTCTAAGATGCCCTATATAAGCTCCTCTGCCTGTTCAGTTATGAGCTGTCCTTCTCCACCCTGGCAGAGGCAGCCACTCTTCTGGATTCCTCCTTCCCAAATAAATATTTCTTAAAAGAGTTTTGGGTGCAAATCTTCAGCCGTCACAGAGCAGAATCTCTGCTGGGAGGATCCCTTAGCGGAGCTGAGCAGAAGAAGAAATGGATACTTCCGCTGGGAAACTCCCTTGGGAGCTGAGCAGAAGTAACAACTTGTAGCCGGAGCTGGAGGAGATTGCTACATTTTTGCAGGGGTTTCCCCTTTAGCAGAGCGAAGCAGAAGGAGAAGCATCTTGGGCCAGAGCTGATAAGAAATGGATGCCTCAGCTAGGACATTTCCTTAGGGGAGCAGAGCAGAAGAAAGTGGTACCCCTGCTGGGAAGCCCCCTTAAGCAGGGGTGCAGCGGAGCTTAGCTGTAATGGCTCTCGAGCAGGATTGCTACATCCTGTTGGGAGACCATCCCCCACAGCAGGCACCCCAGCTTGAGGTATAGGGTGACTTCCGACAAGTCAGGATACCTTTCCCTCCAGAGCTGTAACACTTGCAGTACCTACACAATGAGGGTAGAGTATCGGGATAACCCAGCCTTCCACATTCTCCACCCAGCCTTTCTCGTGATAAGTCAGAACGCTGTGAGTCTTATCTATGACTTCTCTCACTGCTGAGACAGAATGCCAGACCAAAGCAGCTTAAGAAAGGAAAGGTGTCCGCCGGCCAGGCGGTGGTGGCACACACCTTTAATCCCAGCACTCTGGAGGCAAAGTCAGGCAGATGAGGCCAGCCTGGTCTACAGAGCGAGTTCCAGGACAGCCAGGACAGCTAAGGCTACACAGAGAAACCCTGGCAAAAGAAAAAGAAAGAGAAAGGAGGAAAGAAGGAAAGAAAGAAAGAAAGAAAGAAAGAAAGAAAGAAAGAAAGAAAGAAAGGAAGGAAGGAAGGAAGGAAGGAAGGAAGGAAGGAAGGAAGGAAGAAAGAAAAAGAAAGAAAGAAAGAAAGAAAGAAAGAAAGAAAGAAAAGAAGGATGTGTTTGGGTTCTTAGTTGGAGGCAGAAGCACAGGACAGCTGGTATATTGCCCCCGGTGTCAGGAAGCAGAGAGAGACGAAGGGCTCAACTTCTCCTTTTTATTAGTGGAGGATCCCAGTCTACTGAATGGTGCCATCCATGTTTTGGTTGCATCTTCCCACCTCAATCTAATCTGGAAACTCCCTCACCGACATGCCCAGAGGTTAGCCTCCTAACGGAGTCTGGACTCTGTCAGTGATTGACAGTATTAATAACTATCATATTCACTGACATGAACAGGGTGTGATGGTGCATGCATGTAATTTCATCACTCAGGAGGCAGAGGCAGGGCATCACCATAGTTCCAGGGATACCTGGTCTGTGTAATGTGTTCCAGGCTAGTCGGGGCTACAAGACTAACTGATATCACAGCCTCCTTCTGTCCCCTGGGTCTGTCTCCATTTATTCTAAGCCTGGAAGGGAGAAACAGTACAAACACATACATACATACACAAACACACACATGCATATACATACACACACATACACGGACACCCATATTTACACAAACACACACACATACAAGTACATAATATATACCCACACATACATACACACATATAAACACATACACACAAACACATACATACATACATACTTACATAAGCACACACACATATATACATACACACATACTCACACAAACACACATACATACACATACATACAGTGTAACATGGTCCAACCGGGTCCTCAATGCCTGTCAATGTCACAAGGTGAGACCCACACCAGTGGAAGTGGCTAGTGGCTCATATGAGGCCCGATGGCTACGTTGCCCTTGGAATGGCAAAATACTGATTTTTAGACTGAGACGCTCAGCAGGGAGATTGTAGTAATTTCTTGTACAATTCAGGGGAAAGCAACTGTTCTAGGGATCCTGGGCAAGAACACAATAGATAATTGAAATACTAAAAACCTTCACATGACATTGTGTGGTGGTGCTCATAACCCAGCACACAGGACGCAGGAGGTTAAGATCATCTCCAGCCATAGAATGGACTTGAGACCAGCTGTGCGGCATGGAACCCCGCCTCAAAATAAAAATAAAATCTGCAAATGACCCGAAGAAGGCAGGAAATAGAAAACAAATAGCAATCCAAAAAAGAAAAGGGGAAAATAAATGAAAGACAACAGCGGCACTAAATGCAGCCCCATCGATAACTACATAAAATGAAAACCGTCTAAAAGCTTCAATTAAGACACGCACGAGAACGGGGCTGGGGTTTCAGACGTGCGGCTTTAAGACTTCCTATAAAGCTGCCGTCGTCAGGGCCGCAGAATTGACGATGGT